AAAAAAAGACACGTCGTATTTACTTCCGCAGCTGCGAGTGAGGTTCTTTCATTTCCGAGATGGATTTGAGTCTTTAGATGATATGAGAATATTAGAAATTGTTAATTTTTCACTTGATGAGTCTGAATTAGAAGCTATGATATTTATTGAAGATGATATAGAAGTTCAAAGACAAACCACTGAAGAAACTAATCATATCTTTCCTTCTATTGGATAGTTGAAACTTCATGTGCTAGACAATTTATGTTTATGCTTTTGTTGTTGTACTATACATTTAATGCTTACTTTTATTTTGATATTATAAGCTACAAGGCTACAAATGATGTTGCTTTCATTTTTTTTGTAATTTCAAATATTATGCTTTAATTGCTTTCTTAAATTTTATGTATGATTTATAAATTATAATGCCTTGTCCGTGCTGTACCTGTACCATGTATTTTTTTAGAATTGACGTGTCCCATATCTGTATCATGTCGTATCCGTGCCTCCATATCCGTATCGGTGCAACATAGAAGACAATTAATTATATATGCACTTTTTGTACTGCATAAGATGAATACCATAGTCATAATGATTCAGATGATATTGATAAATCACCATGGCATCTTTCACACTATATGAATGTACTGCTCGAGCGGCTTTGTATCATTTCCTCATCATCCAATGATAAAAGATAGACATTTAGAAAATCTGTCATCACTATGAGACAACATGTAAGGTTTTGCTTAAATTGCATGGCGTCTTTTACTCATCCTTTAAAGATAGAAGAACAACATTTTAAAACACAACTACCCATTCTTGCTTGCAACCCCACCTTGTGCATAAGACATGCATCTTCCCCCATGCAAAAATGGGAGCGTAAAAAATAACCAAGCCTTAATTCACAACCTCCCTCCACCCTCCAACACATGCATGCTCATACAGAAACACCCATGTACAACAAAATAAGCTGTTCTGTGTGTGCACATCAACCCCACCCGTTGAATCCAAACATCCTACCTAGCCATCAAATTAAATCCTACGAGTGAAGAGGAAGTATTTGCAGAAGGTAGAAAATCAAGTAAATCTTGGATTGCAAATTAGAAAAGACAAAATCATCTAATAAAATAATTCAAAGAGTTGGTTTTCCTGATAGACGAGGCGAAATCATTGAATAGATTGCCTGGGTTTGCTGGTCATGATATCATTATGCTCTCTTTTATCCCCTTTCCTTTTGATTGTCTTGCCTTTTTTTTATTCCTCTTTTTGGGTTAAATACCGTTCAGTGGGCTGTTTTAATCTTTTCATGGGATGCACTATTGGGCCAATACTTTAGGTATTGATTTTGAAGATCTTGGCTGAGAAAACATTGGACTGCATGTGATGAGGACATCAAAAGATCGACGGCTATGATGTGGAGTTTATTATTTTCTTTTGTGTCTTATGTATTAGTTTATTTTGTTTTCATGTTTTCCCATTTTACCCCTAGGGGTGGTCATTTGATATTGTAGCCCCGAGGGCATTTATGTCTTTTAGTTTTTGTTTCATTTTGGCCTATTTATAGGAGGCTTCATGCATTGTACTAGTATTGATGAATGAAATGAAAATTGCTCCCTTTTGTTCTCTTTGTGAGTGCATAACAAGATCTCTTAGTGAGTTCTTCCTTTGAGATCTCTTGGTGAGTTCTCTAGTTTATTTTATGTTTATTCGTTCACCATCTCTCTCTCATTAGAAGCTCCACAAAATCCCCTTCCCCCAAACCCTAGCCGCCGGCTCCCCCACCTTGGATCTTGCCGCCGGCCACCACCACCATCCCGGCCAACCACCTCCCGCCGCCCCTCCCCTTCCGGCCAACTCCCCTCCCTCATCCCATGTTGAATTTGAAATTTAGAATTCAAATTTTGAATTCTTTCCAAATTTGGAATTCCAAATTATGAAAGTTTGCATGATTGATTCAATTTCAATTTATTTTAATTTGGAGTTTTCAAAATACTTGTCCACATCATCCACCTAAGTTTGGAAACTCTTCCCCACCTCTCCCCAAATTTCTCATGAAGCATTGACTACTTTCCTAAAATAACTCCTTGATTTTAGGCTATCATATTAATTGAATTTCAATTTGAATTTGAAATTCAAATTAATCTTAATTGATAGACCTCCTATTTGGAAACTTTCCTTTTCTTACAAAATCTGAGATTTAATTCAGATTTTAATAAATCTTTGATTAGTGTTGTGGTCCCCACTCACTAATGACAATTAATCTCTTCCCTCTCTATATGTGGCTGGCCCTTCATGAGACTTTTCTCTCTCCTATTGCATTAATTGCTCCCCATTTAATTCTCCCTAAATTCCCTCTCATCCACTTTAATTCTCACAATTAGAATTTGAATTCAAATTCAAATTCATCCCTCCAATTTCACTTAATCTGAATTTAATTATATTGGCCACCTAAGCAAGTACTGGATCCCAAATATTTTCTCCCACAGCTGCCCACGGGATTCCCCACTAAAATCCCTTAGTTCCTGCGCAACCCGGAGAGGAAAGTCACCGATTTCCCCTCCTTCCACTTGCTGTCCAGAAATCTGGAATGGTTCGAAGTGCTGCCCTGAGATTTAGGACCTAGAAAGCTGCTGTCCAGGGCCTTCCGATTGCTGTCCAAGGCGTCCAAGTCAGGTTCACTTGCTGTCTACCACTCAGGAGCTGCCAAACTGCTGTTCAAAGTTGCTGTCCACATAGTTCAGCATGCTCCCCTGCACCACGCCTTCAACAGGAAGGCCCCCAACTGCTGCCAAGAACTCCTTAGTCATTCTAAATTGCTGTCCAAACTTTGGAGACTAATGACGCTGCTGATCTGAGGCTTCCAACTACTACCTAGTGCTTGATAATGGTGAACTCTTTCCCTTAGTCTCTTATCTTCATAGTTATCCTACTATGTGATTTAATTGATTCATAAGAAGCTTGTTAATTACTCTCCGCTAAAGCCTAGAAGTTGGAAGAGTTGAGTGAGGGATCATCTTGTAGTGACTAGTCTTATTGTTAGTGGAGGGATTCATGGTTGAAACCTACCTCGCATGCAATGTTAAGAGTAATTGATTACTTTTGTGGTTTTAACTTTTATGTATGTGACTTAGCCTAAACTTATGACACCACGCTTGTGTTTTATCTCGTCGTTTAATCGCTTAAAAGCTTTTAAATAATATTGTTCTCTAGATCAAGCGTGCAATTTCCTAATTAACCATCCATTAACATATGTTTCACATCACTACATGTGTCAAGATCATGTTGTTTCATGAATTACTTTATTGCAAATTGTATTTTGGTTTCTTGATTTGTTTGAAAGAAAATTGAAATACCTGGTAATTTGTACTATTCTACTTCGCAGCAATTTATTGGTTTTCAACTATTTTATATCTGGTTTAGCAGCCAAATCCTCAGCTGCTGCAAGCTTATGAAATAGATGGTCAGTTTCTTGCACTCATTAAACTTGTACAATGCCCATGCCCTCTTGGCCTCTTGCCTATGTTCAATCCATTTCAGGTAATTGAATCTGGGTAGCTATGAACTTATATACCATCAAGATGATTCTGACGAGGCAATTGAATGAAATTTTACAGTTAAAAACCTGGCTTTTTTGCAGTGCAATTTCAAGATTATGAAGAATGTTCTCAGGCATTTTTTTTTAAAATTTGGATTCGATTTCTTATGCTGCTTTGACGATACACTTTAATTGCGACATGGATGCTTTGGCTGTGCCCTTTGAGAACGTAGATATTATAAGGTGTTACAAAATCTAGTTTAATCTGCAGCATTTTTATGCCGGCTAGCTTTGCACCAGCTGCTTGCAACCTTCCGCTTAAGCTGGCAATTTTTCTGTCTAGTCCAACACTTCATGCCACCGCCCTCTCCCAAATTACAAAATAAATATACTTATGTAATATTCAATAAAATAAAAAACTATCTATATGTAAGTAAACAAATATTTTTTCATTTTTCTTGATTGTGAACCTTTCAAGTCTATAAAATGGCAGCCTTCTGATGACCCAGTTAGGAAAGTAGATATATTATATTTGATTTATGTTAATAATGGTAGAGCTAGATCTAAAAATTTTTTATTAGAAAATATTAAAAGTGACATTTCTTTATTAGATTTAAATGAGAATTCAACTTTTAATAGAGCACAATGGAGAAACTAGATTCTTGTAGCCGATCCCACATAGTATGATAAAGGTTTGATGTTATTATTGTTGTTGTGAACCTTTCAAGTCTAAAATTTAGGGCATGCCAATCTATATGTTGACATTGTAATGTCATCGGCGTGAGATTTTTCAACCACGTTTTTAAAAATCATTTTTAACTCCCTTCCTCTAATATTCACAAAATCACTCAGAAATCTTGGTGTTTTTCGGATATCGATCTCGAGTTATTTGAATTCGTGTAAAGTTTTTTGGTATGTAAGTGGTTCTCACTACAATTGGAGAGATTATTCTATGCGGAAGCCAGACTCAACTCTACGTCCGGAGGCGAATCATGTGCAGCCATGTCAGCGATACCGAGCCACGGTACCGAGCAGTATCAAATCACAATACCGAGCGAAAGAATGACGTGGCACATTCTGGTTGATCTCCAAATGGCATTCGGTTTCCGTACAAAATAGTTTTTCCTACAATTGAAGCTCCTTGATGCCTCTTGAAAATTTAACTATAATTTTGAAGCTATCCAAAGTAATTTTTGCAGCAATCTGATCCTGCTTAGTTCCTTGCATGCAGGTGACCTCCTGGAGACAATGTCAGACACCTACTGTTGCAAATGACGAATTTTTAGCTCCTGTTAGTTAAGTAATCTTTTCACACTGATGTCAAGCACTACTGAATGTTTTTATATCGTTTGAAATCATAAATAATCATCAAAATTTCGAATTTCATCCCAGAACCAAAGAAGCATACCCTGTTCTTGATGATTTCTGTATCTCAATGCTAAAAAAAGAATTTACAGGCCTCATCTGTCAACAATCATCGTTACATTCCTATTTATGATCCTTAAGTAACTGAATTAATTAAAGCTTGTTAGTCAATCTGAGCATTTTGTGTCATAAATAGCAAAAATTGTGGAAGAATAATAGTTTTTGTTTTAATGTTTCTGGAGTTTATGGATCTGACACCGGCCAGATAGGGGGCTCGATGAATCCACGTCGACAATCCGGTGACGGTCGCCGGACACCGCTCCAAGAACTTCTTGGAGGAAAGATCCACCACCTAAGAATCACTCTTAGGATACTAGGAAACACATGAGAACTAAACTCACTATTCATTTATTCCCATATCTCAAAATCATCCTTAATTACAAGACATTAACCTATATTTATAGACTTCAGGTAGTCACATAATAGGCTACACAAGAAATAGAGCTACACCAATCACTAACAAGAAAATACAATTTTATTATATGGACGCTCATGCGTCATTCTACCGGGGTAGGAGGGAACTTTGAGCTCATAGAAAGAGATCCGGTTGGCCACCATAAGGAGGTGGGTTTGGTTGGCTAAATCGGTCTGGATATTTCCACCCGGTGTCAAGTTTCCTACAAATCTTCAATTTCTTAAAGGTAGCATAATCAAATGAAATACCCTTGCTTTGTATTCCAATTCTTGCATCTCTTGCCGCCCCAAGACCAACAACTGCCAGGCCAATACAAAGCACGTTTTCCTTGCATTTTCCTGTGAAGATAAGAAGAACATGGTCTCCTTCATTGAGTTCAATAACAATCCATCCATCATGAACACTTTCAAATGCAGAAATTATGGTATCAACATTTCCACTGCATTCGACACTTTGGTCGACTCCACCATTATTCTTTTCAGCGATATCCTCTTGAATTGGCTTGCTCTTTTCATCTTTATCATCTATGGGTTGATCCAGATAAAGAACTCCATCGAACATGTCATCCTCATACACGTCATATACGGGTTCATCAAAGAAAGGCAAATACGGCGATTTCAGCAATGGATCTTCAATTTCTTCGAAGCTGAATTCGATCGAGGGTGGGGTGGATGAGATTTGATCATCTAAAATGCCCTCGTCGTCGTCGTCGGTATGTAAGGATCTTCGTTCAATCCTTGACAATCTTAGTTTGAGTCGGGCGATTTCTTGTAGGAGATCTTCGATGTCTGCTTCTTGTAGTGGTCTTTCATGATTTCGTCGAGGTGACATCTTATGGCGCCAAACTTGCTTAAAATCTTCCTATTGTCGCCGGAAATACAGAAATAGGCGACTGAAAGAAATTAAAAGATCAAGAAGAAGCTTCAGTAGTGATGTTGCAGAATCTCGGATCCCACGACACCTTCGTTCCTTCCTCTCCTCACAATATTTTGGAGAAATCCAAGAACGTCAGATCAAGGACAAGACAACATTAATCTGATGCAACTTGTATATGAGTTTTCTTTGTCTAACTCCCAGTTGCTCCTACACGCCTCCCAGCTCAGCACTCGATCCCCTTGCTCAACCAGCGAACCCGGCCAAGAACTCCTCCGATCGCGACACCAGGCCGCGTAGCCTCCGGCCAAGATCTCCTCCGTTCACCGCAAGCCGTCCACGTCAAACAGCCAAAGCCGTCTGACCCTCACATGAGCAATCTTCCTCGCGAACACTGCGCCTCCGAATTCAAGCGCCTGAACTAGCTTCTCGCGCACACTTCCCGTGGATCAACTGTCTCAGGCTTCTCTTGCCTCTAGTACCAAATGACACCAAATGCGACTCCTCGAAGGGTGACAAACGACCTCCGGCGAACACAACCACGGCTTCTGCTAGCTTCGCCTGGCTTCACCACCAAGAAAAATGGAGAACTCGTCAAGAAACCGATTCTTTCTTCCGAATCAGTAACTCATATGCACTGTCGGCAACGCCAGCATCTCTGCCGGACTCGGAGGAGACGTCGCGGTCACGAGAACGAAAATCAACACAGGGAATGCGATACAATTGTGAATTACAATTGTTCGTCTCACTGGAGCGATCAGCTGCTTGATTTGTCGAAATCTTGGAATCAAGAACCACACGAGAACACCACCACCTGAAAGCGATCAGAGATCGGACCCAAGGCCAACACAGGGTACCGTCACCTGAGGGAATTCAGGATACAGAAGAACAATGCCAGATGTCGCCGGCGAAGGAGGCGATACGACAACGGACAAGAAAGCCAGCAACTTGCCGGCTCTGATACCAAATGACACCGGCCAGGTAGGGGGCTCGACGAATCCACGTCGACAATCTGGTGACGGTCGCCGGACACCGCTCCAAGAACTTCTTGGAGGAAAGATCCACCACCTAAGAATCACTCTTAGGATACAGGAAACACATGAGACTAAACTCACATCATATTCATATCTCAAAATATATCCTTATTACAAGACATTAGCCTATATTTATAGACTTTAGGTAGTCACATAATAGGCTACACAAGAAATAGAGCTACACCAATCACTAACAAGAAAATACAATTTTATTATATGGACGCTTTGCGTCAGGATCAGTTGGCCATAATTAATTAACTAATTAGGGTCTATGTGATATTTATAGGATTTACTAAATTCTTCAAAGTTAAATCCTACTTGTTGCTAAACAGCTCCTAAGGGGCTGTATGGTATCGGATTTACAGCGGGATTTAAGTTAGAGTTATGCTAAATCCAGCCAAACGATTTTTGTGCTCGCGTTAAAGCCCGCTGATGGGTAAATTCCCGATTTAAGGATTTACGGCTTAAACCCCGTATTTACTAAATCCCTTGGTTATGGGATCTGGCCGAAGTAGCGTGAGAAAGGGAGAAAGTTATCTTCATGGCCAGTGAGCTCCCGTTGATGCTTTCAATCAAAATGTCGTAACTTTCGATCCGACAGGAAGGGAAAGTCGTTGAAGGAGCGAAGTCGAACAACCACTAAGGAGCCAAAGAAGTGACTTGTGCAATCTCTAAACCTGCGAAGAAACGAAGCCGAACAACAAGGACGAACAAGAGAAGATTAAAAGCAAACCCTACACGCCTAAGCCATTACCGATTAAACTTAATTAATATAATTTAAAATATTTTTTTTTTTTTTGGGACATTTAGGCCATTTAAGGCAAACTCACACACACAACGCATACACAAAGACTCGAACCTTGAACCTCTTAGTTGGAAGCCTAAGCTTTCAACCAATAGGCCAAGGAGAGTTGTGTCTTATGCATTGTTTGACTTAGGCTTTCTTTGTGACAGCTTTCTTATTGAGTCTTAAAATAGAGTTTAAAAAAAAATTAATTTTTGTACTAAAATTCAATTTTAAGAATTAATAAAAAAATTGTATCAAACGAAAGCTTAATTGACCTAAATGTCCCTAAAAAAAATTCGATATCAAAGACTCTTTTGTCATATGTTAGATAGCCTCTATGCTTTTGATTTTCTGAAAAAAGGAAAAATATCTTGGAAAAGTTCATTGTTTTCATTAAAGCCGGCTTACAGTTTTCAAAATTTTAACAATTTTATTATTATCAAGAAATCATAAAAAAGTGCATCAATCAACTTAATATATAATCTAATTGTTTATATGGCATTGAATCCTAACTCTTTAGTAATATAATTGATACGCCATGTAAAAATTGTCTTGATCGGGCATGAATTTCGAGGCAAAAATCAAGTTGGAAACTTCAAAAATTAAATCCGAGAGCATCTGAACTTTGATTTCAGCAAACTTACTGTCGAACTGATTCTCGGAAATATGAACCCAACGACACCAAAATCGACTCAATCTGAGCCCAAATGAGTCCAAATCAAGGACCCGAAGCACTGTTGGAATGTTCAAACCACAATTTGAGTTATCAAACGATTTCCAAACATGACGTGCTTTTAGTTGAATCGAGCGGCTCGACGAGACGAATCCAACGGGCCCAAGATCACCAAATTTTGATGTCATTATGACCTTCAATTGTCTGATGAAAGGTTCACGATCAAGGGATTCAATATCGACCGTCCATTCATACCAGTCAATATTTGCCACTGATCTCTCATCTATTTACAAGTTATGCCACTCAAGGAAATCTATAAATAGACCCATCATTTCTCTTAAGAGGGGGGGGCCAAGCAAGAGAAGAAGAAGAAGAAGAAGAAGAGAAGGATAGGAGGGAAGAAACTCCTCGACCATCGCCACCAGAATTATGCCCGACGCCGGAGTTCTGCCCGACATTCAAGTGACTCTGGAATTTCACCCGAACTCCAAGTGACACCAGAGTAATCCCCGAATACCATCTAACGCCAGAGTTATCCTCGGCTACCAATTGATGTCAAACTTCTACCCGATGCCGGACCTCGGCTCGTCGCTAAATTTCTTCCCAATGCTGGACTTATATCAGATACAATCCTTCTAGCCTCCGTTGCTTGTCAGCAATGGTCCTTCTGACTAACATCGCCCGCTGACTATAGTCCTTTCGACCACCATCGCCAGCTGACTACGGTCTTTCTGACTTACGTCGTCCACCGACTATAGTCCTTTAGACCATACAAGCACATCAACAGTGATGCTTTACATTGCCACCATGTAATGTATTTTATAAGATGTACATCAAGCTAAGGCCTTCCCCCGAGGAAGGACCTCATTTATAATCAACTACAATACTAGTGGATTCATTTATACTGGCAAGGCCCCGTGGTTTTTCCCCCTTTTTTAGAAGTTTTTAACGTAAAAATCTTGGTGTCTCATAAATACTACACACCTTCTCTCTTATCTGATTGCGTGCCGGATTTTTCGTACAACGCTAAGACGTTAAACTTTATATTTCTCTACCGCCGTGAATACTCCAGGATGCAACAATAATGAACTAATTTAAAAATAAATATTTCTGCCTAATCAGTATAGAAATTTAATAAAAATGAAATTTAGCTTTAAAAATTTAAGGAATAAAAGGATGGCATCGATTGTTGTAGAAGCCTAAACTAAATTGGCATCTTAGGCTTCTTTTGAGATGGTTTTTTTATTGATTTTAAAAATAATTCAGTACAAAAATAATATTTTTTTTAAATAATTGCTTCAAAAAACAATAAGAAAGTTGTGGGACAAGTTATGTTTAAAAATTTTTGTAATAGAGAGTTGATTTAGAATGCAAAGCTGTCCTAAACGAAGCCTTAGTTTTGAATAAATAAACCCATAATTAAAATTAAACATTTAGTTGGTAATAAATTTATCTTTTATTTATAAAAAATTTCTACCCAATTTAAAATAAAATTTATTTAATTTTTTATTTGAATTTATATGTTTATTTCTGAAATAATTATTTAATTTTATATTATTATTTATCAATTTATTCTTAAATCAATCAGTATTTAATTATAATTTTAAGTATTTAAATTTAACTCGTTCTTATTGCTTATAAAATGGATTTGAATGCTTATAGTTAAATTTAGCTTAACTTGTTGTCAAATTAAATGATTTGACTAAATCTTTATGTCAAAACTCGATAAAATCAAGATCAAATAGTTACCAAAAGTTTAATTTATAAAAATTATTTTATTATATAATTTCACAGTTTTATTAGAAAAATGCTATGTCATTCTCTTACAAACAATTTTGAAAAAAAAAAGTTTTCTATTTTTTTGTTTTCTATTCTAAAAATCAGGGGAGATATCATTTTAATGTTATATGGTTTAAAAAAGAGTTTCAACTTTAAAACTATAATTTAATAATCTATTTGAAACAATTTTTTAATTATTTAATTTTTTTAGATAATCATATTTTTATTTGACAATTATTATTTTTGTTATTTTTAACTATTTTTTTAAAAAAATTGTTGTGCAATACTATTTTTTTGCAGTTAAATTTATTAATGTGCGATAGTTATAACAAAATTGTTCTCAAATTAAAAAAAAAATTGCAATAATTTTAATACAATTTATTTTCTTATAAAAGCTTCACTATCATCTTCTTAAAAAATTATTGTAAATATCTCAAATAGGTCTTAAGTAGGAGTTTTAACTTCCAAAACTAATTGAAAAAAAATTTGTGCATTTTGATTTAATTTTTATTATAATGAGATTTATAATAATTTCATTTGTTTTGATATATTTATGATAAATAATTAATTTATTAAAACTACATTGTATTTATCACATTTGGCGCTTATGCGATCCCTTACCTCATTGCAAGAATTCCTCCCTCTCTCTTTAATTAATCGAGAAAGAAGTTTTCTGAGTCAGAAATGGTGAGCTATTCCATCGATAAGAGTAGCAGAGAAATCCGATCCCCTCTTTCTTCCCGTCAATGCAAGATCTTCTTCTTCTTCTTCTAGGGTTTTCCGAGAGATTTCGCACCGATTGATACCAGTCGCTTCCATTTCCTCTCTTCGAATTCGACCCGCGATTCTTCCGAACTAAATTTAGGGCGTTTACTGTTTCAGAAGCTTCCGCTGAATTCAACCAAGTGTAGGGCTTTCCGTCATGGAAACATCGGGCGGAAATTCCGATGCTTATTGGACCTCGCGGACTGCCGGCGCCACTGCGACCGGCGGCAGCACGAGGAGTTACTCCGCGCAGTTTTCGACTGCGGGTTTCATTCAGGCGCCGCTGACTGCTCTTCTGGAGTATTCCGGGCTCCTGCGGCCGCGATCGAGCAACCATGCGGAGGGTGCGAGTTTGCTTGCTGGAGAAGCCAACGGCGTCCGGCTGGACCATGGTTCGGTTCAGCCGGAGGGATCGTTGAATACGAATTCTGGAGGTGATGGGGAGGTCTTGATAAGGATTATTCCATCAGGGGATAATGAGAGCCAGGCTCATACATCGACCGGCGAGAATGGTGTTTCTGCGGAGGTGATTACTAGGGTTTCTGGTGATGGTGGGGTTGGAGACGATGGTGGGAGAGAATACCGGGTTCGCGAGGTTAGTGGATCGCCAGCATCTCAGCTGCCTTCAGTCTCATCTGCTAATACGCAAAGCTCGGATGGTGATGCGAACCTTGCGGAAGCTAACAATAGGGAGTCATCTTATCAGAGATATGATATTCAGCAGCTTGCGAGATGGGTTGAGCAGATACTCCCTTTCTCGTTGCTTTTGTTGGTAGTGTTCATTCGACAGCATTTGCAAGGTATTCCTATTTCTAGTTTTTAATGACATAACATAAGATGATCGATATGGTTGCATCTTTCACTGATTTTATTGAATTGTGTAGGAAGTGTTTGCAGATGAATGATTTAGAATCTTTATACGTGGTACAATTCATTACAGTCGAACATTGTTGTAGCGGCTTACTGGGAGTCAAATGCCTTGAAAAATTATATATGTTGGCGATGGTGCTTTGGCTTAATTTTTTTTCTATATATTCCTTATGAAGTTTGTTGTAGTTCACTTGCAGAGTTTTTGTCGATAATCTGAAAATGTAAAATGGGAGCCCTCTATTCTGAAATCTGATTTTGCATACAATGCTTCTGCACATGTTGATTAGTAGGAAGACCATATGTGTAAATGGTCTATTCCACCATTTTACGTTGCAATTCCTTCTAATAAATAAAAGAAAAAAAAAAAAAATACCGAAGCACACTATCATCAATGCCATATGGGGCAACAGCTAAACACTACAATAGCTTGATGATATTAACAGTATATCTGGTGCTTTTATCAGTGTTGATGTATTTAGCTATTATTCTCTTTTTGGAGAGATATTTAGCTATTATTCAACATACAAGTTTTGACATGGTCCAAGTTGTAATGCTTCTTTGTGAATTTTGGTTACACATTTTTCTGTCTGCCATGAAGTGCAGAGTTCTCGATCCTTTTCCGGAATTTTTTATTTGTTATTCCATTTTTACATTGGAAATCTATTTCAGAAGTCTCATGTTGCATTTTTCTAGATATTTGGTGAAAGTTATTGGTGTATAGCTCTATTTCTTAGCAGCTTTAATAACTTAGTCATACTATTTAAGGCTTTCTATGGTTGCTTCTCTAGTGTATGGTGAGGTTGGATGCTTTGTCCAACTTTTTACGGTGGTTAATTGGTTATTGGGTAACCTTAGTATGGTATCGTTGTGTTTCTGACTAAAATAGTTCAAAACATTGCATTTAATGTCAACATTACCCTTGGTGGGAAGTAGAGTTAATTTTACTTTTCATATCTTACTACACTTGCTGGTTAGGAAAGCAGCAAATGATCCCTATCTATTTCTTTTTAGTTTTGAGCCTGACTTGCATTGAGGGTCCATATTAGAGTCTATGTTATGATTATATTACTTGATTATCATTAGAGATCTTGGTACATCAGTACATGCTTCTAGCTTACTATAATAAACTATTCCACTTTATTCTTTAAATGATGGAATGGCCATGCAAACTTCTCTTTATGGAAATAGGTCAAGACTCAGTGTATTTCTTTAAAAAATTTACTTTTAAAAGTAGAAATATTTTGACTAAAAAATGATTTAAAACATTATATAAAGGGTCATATCTCTTTATTACATAATCAATTCTGCCATGAAGGGTCATATCTCTATATCACATAATCAATCCTTTAGCATAAAGATCACATATGACATTGGTAACTTTGAAATTCCTTTTCAAAGTGAAGTAAACATGTTACAATTTGGTTAAGGCATTACAACATGAGGAGGTTTGTCTATCTCTCAATATCACTTATTCATAAGGATGTAAATGAACCCAATCAAGTTAAGTGTTTCCTTGTTTGAGGTTGTTCATTTATGTTCTTATCGTGTTTGAGCCGTAATCAAGCTTTAATTGAGCCTAATTAATTATTAATTTGATGCTAATGATTTACACATATCCTAAGTACTAGACATAATGGATTTATAGTTTTTAATAAAATTTGACGTAATTCATTTGGTATTATTTAATTTATTTTGGTAAATTTTAAATTTTAATAGAAGAAATTTAAATCTATATATCTATCTATTTATTTAATTTTTCATCATATATGTGCCTCAAATAATATTCATAATTTTTAAAGTGTATATAATATAAGAAAAAAATATGCAACAACAAATAATGAGTCATGAAATAAGGATTTACGCTATCATTAAATGAGCTTTTTATTGAGTTCTTAGCGAGTTAGTTGTTAAACAACAAACAAAACAGTTTACAAACCTAAATGAACAAGCTAGTTAGTGTCAAGGTTCATTTATATGATGAATATTTAAACTTTTATTCAAGTTTGTTGTTCAATTGTGTAAATAAATGAGCATAAATGAGCTTTATAAAAATGAGTATTGAATAGTTCATCTAGTAGGCTTACTCACAACCCTACACATCTTGCTTAATTTGAATTTTGTGTCCTAAAACTTCCATGATTGTGTTAGACCGGTCCAGTGGACCGGTCCAGCCGGTCCACGCGGGACCGGCCCAGACGCTAAACACGCGAAATTTCTCGCCTGGGCGGAGGCCGCGCGAGCTGTTAGCATTGCGGGAGCCTAATAGGAAGGTTTTTTGGGGAGATTAAGAGGGGAATTTGAATGTAGGGACTGCTTAGGGATTTTCTTTTGATTTGTATGCATTAAATAGTTGTTTTTCCTAGGGTTTGAGTATCTTGAATTTGGCTGAAATTTGAGATCTCTTAGATTTAGGTTTCCTTTGGGCTCTAGCGGCGTCTAGAGATTTGGGAGAGATCGATCCTCCTCTCGAATTGAGGATCAATTGTATCTTGCTATTTTATTCATCATCTAGTGGAATACAAGTCGTACTTTGAGTTTTCCTACCGTTTTCCTTTAATTCCCCACTGTTTTTGGCTGTTTTACTGCTGAAAACAGCAGTTTTCGTGATTTGGTACTTAATTTTGGCTAGGTTTGCTTGTGAATACAAGTACTTCCTATCAAATTCGTATCAAAGCACCATCTTGAGACCATCGGCGGCTGAAATCCTGAAATTTCAGCTGGTTTTTTGGCATTCGGAAGAAGGTTTCTTGTGACTCGTTGAAAGAAAGATGGCCGGAAAGAAGATCAAAGTCCTAGAAGGCGAATTTGGCCAATTAAAATTAGATTTGGAGGAAAAATTCCTTGAAATCACCGCCAATAATGAAAGGTTGGATGGAGTTCCAACAACAACGGCCATGGAAAAAATGATGAAAAAATTTATTGGAGATGAAGACTAATCGACGACGTCGGAAGCAAGAGAGACTACCGGAGACCACTCCGTAGAGGAAATCCGAACCCGTCTTAGGGGGAGGAGGAATCAGGATGTAGAGATCCTTGAGGGAGAAGACGACATGCCACATCTAGAGCCACTTTCTAGGGAGGAGATGAGCATGGGAAATGATCGAAGAGGGGCTGATTTAGCGGAAGAAGAGGGGAATTTTCAGCGTCGAGGTGCTGATTTTGAAGGTAGAAGAGGGAATATTGACGAAAGTGCAGATTTTGGCGGAAGAAGAGAAGAATTTCAGCGTCGAGGTGCTGATTTTGAAAGGGGAAGAGGGAATATGACGACGGATTCGGATACCAACTCCGGAGGGAGGACCGGACACTTGGGGAGCACCTCATCTTCGAGGAAGGGGAGGTTATGGAGGATACCCGAGGAAACTGGGGAGACCCACGAGTGAGGAAGCTGAAGATGCCGTCTTTGAGGGTGAAGACTGCCATGGCTGGATCCTACAAAGAGTGGAGCGTTACTTCGCTTGTCAACGGGTTGACAGAGAATGAAAAATTTGACCGCGGCGGGTCTCTGTGTCTGGAAGGGAAAGTTTTGGGCATGGTATCAGTGGCGTGCAGGAGGGAGCCCATTCGGAGCTGGAGAGAGTTCAAGGATTGCTTATTAGAGCGTTTCCGAACCGACGAGGGAGGAATTTCTATGAGCAATTCTTTGCCTTGACTCAAGAAGGGACTGTGGCAGAATTAATCGGGATCGGTTCGAGTACTCTGGCTAGCATATTGGATCACATTTCAGAGTCAGCCTTGAGAGGGAACTTCAATGAAGGGGTTGAAACCAGAGATCCGAACAGCAGTCAGGGTACTGGAGCCGAGGAACCTGGGAAAGGCTATGGAGCTGGGCAGTTGGTAGAAGATCAGAACGAAAGCAGAAAGAGGGGCTCGAGGAAACTGCTCAGGAGGCTCTTCAGGACGACGACCACTCTTCTAGCACCCAAGGGGCCTAGATCAAGGCAACAGTAATGAGACACCCGGGAGAAGCCAGTTAGGAGGAGGGAGTGGGGAAAAATTTCAAAGGCTGACAGAGGAGATGCAGGGATAAGAGAGATAAAGGGGTTGCGTTCAGATGTGATGAGAAGTACATGCCAAGGGCATAAGTGCAAGGACCGAACTCTTCAGGTTCTCCTTGTCTGTGAAGACGAGGAAGACGAGGAGGGAGGGGGGAGCAGATCTGGAGAGGAGGAGGAGAAGTTGCACCTGGATGTGGCAGAAGTCTCTCTAAACTCTGTAGTGGGATTCACTCCGAGTCATAACTATGAAAGTGAAGGAGAGATAGCTGGCCGTGAGGTGGCGGTGCTAATTGATAGGGGGCTACCCATAATTTCATTTCCACTGAGGTCGTCACTAACTGGGAGTAAAATTGGTGGACACCAGTTGTTATGGGGTGATGATGGGTACAGGAAAGGTGGAGAAAGGCCAATGAATCTGTAAAGGAGTGGTGTTGACCATCCAGGGATTCAGTAAGGGAGGACTTTCTCCCACTAGACTTAGGAAGCACTGATGTCATCCTGGGGATGAAGTGGTTGCAAACCTTGGGGGAAACCAAGGACAATTGGGGAGCACTCACGATGGAATTAATGGTGGATGGGAGAAAGGTGGTTATAAGGGGAGATGCAGGGCTATCCAAAGCCATGACATCACTTAAGACCATGGTCAGGGATATGCAAGAGGTGGGGGAAGACTATATGGTTGGACTACACATGCTGAATGTGATCAGAATGGAGGGAGAGGATGTTTCTCTTTCCGTACAACCCTTGGTTCAGCAATACAGTAAGGATTCTCTGTCATCTCATGGATGACCACCTCCACTGGAACACGAGCATATCTCCACCTTTGAGGACTAGGTGGATTTTCGTGAGGGGAGTATTGTTCGAAATTTCTAGCCTGGGCGGAGGCCGCGCGAGCCGTTAGCATTGCGGGAGCTTAATAGGAAGGTTTTTTGGGGAGATTAAGAGGGGAATTTGAATGTAGGGACTGTTTAGGGATTTCCTTTTGATTTGTATTGCATTAAATTGTTGTTTTACCTAGGGTTTGAGTATCTTGAATTTGGCTGAAATTTGAGATCTCTTAGATTTAGGTTTCCTTCGGGCTCTAGCGGCGTCTAGAGATTTGGGAGAGATCGATCCTCCTCTCGAATTGAGGATCAATTGTATCTTGCTATTTTATTCATCATCTAGTGGAATACAAGTCGTACTTTGAGTTTTCCTACAGTTTTCCTTTAATTCCCCACTGTTTTTGGCTGTTTTACTGCTAAAAACAGCAGTTTTCGTGATTTGGTACTTAATTTTGGCTAGGTTTGCTTGTGAATACAAGTACTTCCTATCAGATTGTTTCTTAACTATCAAGATGTACATTTGTGGTATTCAAGCACAATAAAAATATAACATCGTTTTTTTGTTCTAAAAACTTGGTTACATGTTAACCCAAAAAATTATTTAGCTTAAAAAGGGTGCTCTGTTTAACAAATATGCTCCTCATGCATAATTTGTGCGAGAAAATAGTTGTGGAAGCTGTGCTTTGTTCGCTACCCAAGCCCAGTTGTTTTTTTCCTTTTGATATGCTGCTATAGCTTTTTTTTTTTAGCTGTATTTTAAACATTTACTAAGATATGCGAATTACTTTTTACATTCTCCATCGTTTTAAATATTCTTTTATGTTAGTAGACGTGGTGGTTAAATTTGCCTTTTAAGACTACCCTTTACATGTCTGATTTATTTATCCTTAATAAATATGGTTTGATTTGGAACTAAGAATAATTTAACCTTCCATCACCTTGTCCTATATAGGCCAAGGTGTTATATTACTAAAGATACAAATTCCTTAATGTTTTTTTTGCATATCTTGTGTTTAATTCATAACTTGTTTAGTCTCTACTTATGTAACAGGATTCTTTGTCACTATCTGGATTGCGGCAGTGATGTTCAAATCAAATGATATATTGCGGAAGCAAACTGCTTTGAAGGTGCTTTAATCTTTCCTGCATAACTTTTTTTTTTATTTAATAGCAACTACCGTTTGAAGTTGAGTCTTTTTCTGTGGTAGGTTTGATAATATGAAAGAAAATTGAAATATAACAGAACTATGATTAATAATAAATGCAACTTTTCCTTAGAATTAATGGTGCTTGATGAAGTCCCAAGAATCCAGCTGAATACTTTGGTCAAAGTTAGATTAAAATACTATAACTAGAAGTTTTTATCCCACTACGTGAGATCAGCTACATGAATTCTTTTTCTTCGTTGTGTGTTATTAAGAGTAAAATTCTCATTTAAATCTAATAAAAAGTCATTTTTAATAATTTTAACCCAATATTTTTAGGTAGATTTTCATCTTTCTTAACATAGGCCGGATCTAATACATCTACTCTCCTAACAGGGTCGTCGGAAGGCCGATGTTATATGTGACCAAACTACCTAAGGAGTCTCCCTCTAATCTTATCTGCCATTGAAGCAACTACAACCTTTTCACGTATGTACTTGTTTCACATTCTGTCTCTAAGACACTTCATCCACTTGAGCATCCTCATCTCAACAACATTTAACTTAATTTTATGCTTCTTTTTTAATGGCCAACATTTTGCTCTATGAAGCATTTCAAGCCTCACTACCATCCAATAGAATTTTTCCTTTAAGTACTCGGTCAAACTATCTTGTGTTTGAACATAAGTAACAACTATTGTATACATATCATTGATGACTTAAATATAAGCATTTTTAACTCATTTCTTTTCTAGAACTCTCCAGAGCACTTATATTGGAATGTTATAATATATTTTCTCTTTGTCCATAAATATCATATATAAATCCTCCTTACTCTATCTATACATCTCCATCAAACCTCTCAACAATATATAACTTCCATTGTAGATCTATACGGTATGAATTCAAACTGATTTTGAGAAACATTAGTATTACATCGTAACCGTTGCTCAATTACTCCCTCTCTCATAGTTTTAATGTATGACACATTAATTTAATTCCTTTATAATTCGCACATTCTTGTGCATCACCTGTATTCTTAAAAATAGAAGCTAACACACTCCCCCACCCATTTGGTATTTTTTTAGTCTTCAAAATAATATTAAAAAGTTTAGTAAGCCAAGAAATTCTTCGACCTACTAAGCATTTTCACACTTCTATTCCAATATAATTATGTCTTGCTGCTTTTCTACACTTTATTTTATTTAAAACTTCTCAAACTTCGCTTTTACTAATATGATGATAAAAATAAAAATCTCTATTTTCATTTAGGGTTCTGAGGTCACTAAAGTCAATCTATTCTCATGACCTTCTTTGAAAGGTTTATCGAAATATTTTATCCACTTATGCTGAATATCTTCTTTTGAGAAAATCATTTTATGATCTTTATCTTTAATGTAGTGGCCCTTGCACGCTTTTCGTTGTATTCAGGCGTTGCTTCTAGGGAATGTCTTAGTATTAGTTCAAAGTTAATTAAAATAAGTAAAAATATCAGTAGAGTTTTTGCAAAAAGAATTGTTATTGTTCTTGGACATATTTGTCAAGATATTACAAGCATTTCATTTTTTATGCTTAAAATTTCAGCTGATACGTGTTCTTCATTGAACTTGGTTATGAATACAAAAAGTACATTGTTGGATGAATTAGGCCTATGGTTTATTAGTGCAAATTTAAGATGAGATGTAGAAAATCACTCACGAAGAATAAATTTGTAGTCAACAAACTTTTAATTACTTAAATTCTCAACTCTTTAATGAAAATCATGAAGGATGGAAAATTTTCCTCAGAGCGATAAGTTGAAGATGACCCAAACAAGAAATTTGACTTGAATAAAATATCACGATGATTGTGATCACACTGTTGTTGTAAGAAAACTTCTAACAAATTTGGTCAAATAAATCACCCACGCAAATAAATCACAAATTATGTTGATGAAAAAAAAAATCACTTAAATATTAGTCCAGATATTACGTCAGTTCAAGCAGAGATCTCGCGTCAATTCAAGCAGAATACTTTTATAATTCACGTCAAATCACCATTTACACCACATGCAAAGAATTCACACTCAATCAGCACACAAATTTGAGCGGAAAACTGAAATTTCATTGAGCAGTTGATTGATTTTTACATGCATTAACATCTACTCTTGTAATCATAAGAAGACCGATTTCCCTAAATCAGAAATATCTCGAAAAATATGTTTTCCCAAAACCATGGATCTCAATCTGGCAAATCCTAAAATTATACAATGCCAGTGCATTGACTCCCAAGTCCCAATTCCTTACTACAGTCAAAGTCACGGCTTCAGCAAGTAGTAATTCCAGTAATTAAAAATAGCGATTGAATGAACAGTGTTCTAGGTGGCTTAAGCTGCAGTAAATAACTGATCAATGACTCTGGCTATGAGAGATTAGCTGTTAGAAGCATGGATAATAGCCACAAGAAAAATTGGCAACCCATAGAACCAACTACTGGAATTGAACCAGACCAGGAAAACAACCAATGAGAAAGCCAAACTAACACATGCATTTAGAGAACACAACCCAGTCTCTATAGTGATCGCCATCGCTAAAAGCATGTTTACAACTTTACACTAAAATAAACCCATGTAAAATCATAACTTAGAATGTCAATGGGTGAAAAACAACATAAGCAATATCAAACTTAGAATATAAATGCGCTCATCTCAACGCTCATATGTTGCATTCCCAATGAGTATAAACTTTTATATTTTCATCTACATATGAACTAGTTTATGATTGATACTATATTGGAGTGTCCATTACATTTCATTTTGCTTGTCAAAGCAGGTGCATTTATATCAAGGGCTATAGCTCTTGATCATCCATGCCATTCCAGGGATTTTTGTTAAGCACATAATGAAACCATCTCTAGTCTATTAGTTTGCTCATCTTTAGCCTATCCTTAAATACTTAGTCTGCTTGATACTCTTTACCTGGGATTCATTGTTTGAAGAAATCACAAAAGAAATGGGGTTGAAAAATACCACTAACTGACATATGCATTCTTTGTTACATGGTTAATTTATCTTGCAGGGGGAAAGAAGAAAGTCAGTTCTTGTTGGAATAACATTGGTTTTCATGCTTCATGTTTTTGGTGTCTACTGGTGGTATAGGAATGATGATCTCCTGAACCCACTGGTTCTGCTTCCTCCAAAGGAAATTCCACCATTCTGGCATGCTATATTTTTTATTTTAGTGAATGGTATACTTTCTAACTTCTCTTCTTTGGTTATCTTTCACGCACTTTTTTTTTTTATAATAATATTTCGCCTTGGGAGTGGATTAGCTTTTGAAGGAAGGCCTTACCAGCTTGATGCTTTCTTCTAGCATAATGAACTAGCCGTTATTGCTTATTAAGGCCATTGATGGGAGCAATTAGACAGGTTGAAAGCTTTTATATATATATATATATACACACACACACATACACACACATATATACATACGTGTTTTCTGTTTGCAATGCATGTAGTTGGGCTAATGCATCGGTGGAAATTAGAAGAGTGGATTGTCAAATTGTAAGTTCGAGAGGGAAAAGCTTATCACTTTATTCAACATGATCCCTATTTATAGTCTATACAAGATGCTTATATAAAGAAACAAATAACTACACAATAAAGAGTAATACAATCCTTCCTAAATTAGTTACTCTAGTTTTGGAAGGTATTCAATGTGATACAGGCGGACTTCCCACGGATCACTGTTCATGGCAGGGGGATTAGTCTAGCAACGGAAGGTTGATATTTAACATGGATATTATTGGATGGGCCCCCACCCAAATACATTTGCATTTACCCACATGCACACTGTAGTCCCAACTGATCTTCTCGAATCAGACATAAATTTGGTAGATTCTACTTTTCATTTGGACAATCTGCACTTTTTCTGTCCCCGTTAAACCTGGAAAATCCCTATCCAACCACCACTAACCAATTTTTATCTCATTCGGTAGGTAATATGTATGTGCTCTATGGAGCTGATTCTTATGGAAATTATCTTTTGCAAATTCATGTAAAGAAACTGTTTTATTCACAGCATTTTATCTCCTTTTCATTATCATTGACTCATCTTGTTCCAGACACATTTATACAAGTTTGAAATTTTTTATGTTGTTAGGTAAGCTTTTGTTTGTGCAATTGAGAATTCTACTTGGTATTAATGTGCTCACAGATGTTGGAATTCCTTATTTAGATGCAATAAATGTTCTGTGCATATTTGCTGCTTAATATTTCCTTTCAGAAATGACCGTAGTATTTTAATAGTTCTTCATTTTCAGATACAATGGTTCGACAGGCAGCCATGGTGATCAAATGCATTCTGCTAATTCATTACAAGAACAGTCGAGGCCGTAGCTATCGGAAGCAGGTAATCTATTTTTACTTTGCTCTCAAGACTTTTGACATTTGAATCCATGAAGACATTTTTTTTGCAGATAATTAGAACTTTGTTTCTGCATATCATCTTTTAGAATATGTTCCACATATGCTCCCCAGGTTCTTCTGGTATAGATTTTATTTATGCTATTAGCTAAATTAGAGAGTGCTGTAATAGAGCAACAATTAGGTTATTGTCTGATTATCTACAAGCTGAATTGAGTTTGATGAGAAAGTACTCTCAATACCATATGAGGAGGTTATTGTCGAAGTACATATTTCCAATTCAAAATACCTATCTTAAGTGAAGGTTGTGTTTATATGAAGGACTATTTGCTATTATAATACCCAAAACTAGGCTACTAAACTCAATAGGACCCTAAAAAACATCTGCATCTTACAAAGTTTGTTACTCAATCATCCTTTTAACCTAGGACCATGTTCACTTTTTTTTTTAATTCCAAAAATGAAAAGGACAGTACAAGAAAGATCCGAAAATAGCCGAAATCAAAATACATCAGAGAAGGGACATGAAAACAAAAGCAACACAACTTTGGTTATAATGAACTACCCATTCTTATAAGAAGGAAAATTTCCTACGTGTGTGCCTGGAAAGCTTGCCTGTGAGTGTGGCACCGGTGGTGATTGCTAGCTACTTGGCGGTTGGCGAGCTTGCCAAGGAGATTTTTGCATAGTCTCTGTTCCATCACTGGCGCTCGATAGTGCAGGTGAGGCAGACAGAGGCCATGGATTTGTTGGGATACAATTATGTCTTACTAAGGTTAGCAGAATTGAACTTAACAAAAGATCAAATGAATTTCTTCTAGGTACTATCTATGGTTTGTTTGAGAGAAGTTTTGGGTGGTATATGTTCTATTGAAGTTTCGAGTGTTATCCAGGTGCTTCTCGTGTGTTATTTTGAGTCGTGGAGCTTAATTCTTCCCCTTAAAGAAAATTTTTTACAGAGACTTAGTTGTGGCTGCCCTAGATTTTTCTCTTTATATGAGAGATATACTTATGTGTCTAAAAGATTAGTATTGTAATTATCCCCAATCAATTTGATTGAGATCGATAGCGGTGACAGTATGTGGTAGCTGCTAATTGGATGAACCTATATAAGTTATTGTTTATATTTGTATTTGACCTTCTTCCGCTTTTTTTTGCCTAGGTTTCTGATAGGAAATACTTGAGTTTGCAGGTAACCCTAATGAGAAATACTTGAGTTCGCAAGCAAACCTAATAATAATCGGTACAACAGTGAGAAAAATAGAAGAACTTTCTTGGAAATAATAAAAAACAGTAGGTAATCTTATAAAAATCAAAGTGAAGCAAGAACGAAACAAAAATACAATTGATCTTCAATTCGAGAGGAGGATCGTTCTCTTCCAATCTCTAGACTAGGAAGTCTAGAGCCCAAAACACCATAGAGAACTTCAAGAGAAACAATAATCATGCATGAAAATCTAACCCTAATTCCTTCATCTTATTTAAAGCATACAATTAATTAATTAAAAAAAATAAAAAATACAATTAATTAATTAAGCCAAATTACTCCCTTGCCCTTGCCGCCCCCTCTTTTGCCTCCAAATAGTTTGAATTTGATTTCCTTGTGGGGCCCACTCCTCCCTCTCTCTCTCCTTAGGCTTGCCGCTGCCCCTTCTCCTGTAGCAAAGAACCGGGGTTGGACCGGTCCACTAGGGACCGGTCTAACAGTTTCATCTATTTTCCCGCATCTCATACGAATAAATAACAACTAGATAATAGACCAGGTAAAATACTTGTACCTATCTTAAAAATAACTTCAATCTCAATTTTGCTTTCAGGGTCAAATGCTAACGCTTGTGGAATATTTTCTCCTCCTATATCGTGCATTATTGCCAACACCAGTTTGGTACAGATTCTTCCTGAACAAAGAATATGGAAGCCTCTTTTCTTCTCTTACTACTGGACTATACTTGACTTTCAAGTTAACATCTATTGTGGAGAAGGTATTAATATGATTTCCATTTTAAATTATTATAATTTCTCCCTCTTGATTTAACATGTCGCCAATCTCTTGCGATGATTGAGATTGTCTTTGCATAGCCCATTTTAATTTCTTTTCGAATTTTGTGCACCACAGGTCCGATCATTCTTTGCAGCATTGAAGGACCTTTCTTGTAAAGAGGTGCATTATGGCTCAAATGCAACAGCAGAACAGGTCAACTATCTCCCTTTCGACTTTTATCTTAGGCTTCGTTTGGGATAATTTTTTTATTGCTTCTTAAAATAATTTTTTAGTTAAAAAATTAAAATTTTTGTACTGAAAAGTTGCTTTAAGAAGCAGTAAGAAAATCATCCCAAATGAGAGAATTTCTCATTCCTGAAACATCTATAATATTGTCTCTGCTTTATCGTGTTCATAATGACTTCAATATACTTACATTTTTTCCTCTTTAATGTTTAGCCTGATCAACTTTCATGGTACTCCCTAAGCCAACAAAAACCAAATGAAAACCCTTGAACTTGCTTTCTATCTTTTTAGTTTTTTTTTTTTAATCAAATTAATTCCCCTACACCTGCATAAATTCTTATTAAAATTTATTCCATTAATTTTCTTATAACTCCATGGCATCTTGTAAATTTTATTCTCTTATAATTATTTCAATAATTTAAAAAATCTCTTTCTTCAATCCTAAACTGATATAGCATCCCTTTCTTTGGAGAATTTAAACGTCTAACGTTTACATTTCCACTCCGTATAAAATGATTTTTTGGCCAAAATTTGATAATGATGAATTTTAAGTTTCGTTGCGGACAACTTTCTTACTACTTCTTAAAACAACTTTCTAGTACAAAAGTTAGAATTTTTGTATACAAAAGCTGCTTTAAAAAGCCGTAAGAAAACCGTCCCAAACGAAGCCTTCGTTTGGGCCGGCTTTCTTACCGTTTTTCTTAAAGTAATTTTTAAGTACAAAAATTTTCAAATTTTTATTAAAAAATTTGCTTTAAGAAATAGAAATAAAGTCATCCCAAATACAGCCTTAAAATATTTGAAATGATGTGAATGATCAATCAATATGGAGCTTATATGGTGCAGGTAATTGCAGCTGGTGATCTCTGTGCTATATGCCAGGAGAAGATGCACGTGCCAATACTCCTTCGCTGTAAGCACATCTTCTGCGAAGATTGTGTTTCTGAATGGTGAGTTACAATCATTCCTTCCTTCCACCAATAAATATATTCTTTCAACTGATTTTTGTATTATATTTTTTCTCTCTCCCTTTTTTTTTTTGTAGGTTTGATAGAGAGCGCACGTGCCCCTTGTGCAGGGCTCTAGTGAAACCTGCAGGCCTTCGTTCCTTTGGAGATGGCTCAACGAGTTTGTTTTTCCAACTATTTTAATCCTGTACAGTTAAACTAAATTTTTTATATAAACTATAGAGCCGAATGAAACTGCCATCCCTATATATCCCATCCTAAGGCATTAGATCCCACCCCTTACATGGGAGAAATTGTTACGTGTGGAGTCCAGTTATGTCCAGACTTTAATAAAAATGTGACACGTGTCCTTGTACACAGTGTGTATAACTATGCATACTATGTACAAATTATAAAATTATGTACAATATATACAAATTTATATACATAATATATAAAGTGTGTATAAATTTATACAATGTGTACGAGGACACGTGTCACTTTTTTATTGGAGTCCAGATATAACTCTACGTCCGGACTCCGCATGTAATAATTTATCTTTGCATGGAGAGGAGTTTTTGGTTGAGAATATTCTGATTCATATTTTATTAGAATGGAATGGTTTTTTTTTTTTAGTTATTTTGATTTGCTTTAAGAATTGATTGATTGATTTTATATTATAATCAGTTCGAAGCAAATCTAGTAATTAAAAAAAAATTCTAATTAAATTTGAGCTGGAATATCTGAACCTAATAAATTTGAAGTCATGAATTTTTTTTTTTATGGGCAAAATATTTCTTTTAGAAAATTTTGCCATCCAAAAAGTTTATGCAGTCCAGCATTGGCTTCTACATCAACATGGCCTAATCACAGGCTTAAAATCTCAATTATTTATATAGATTGATTGAGACTTCCGTTGGGACAGTTTTTTTATGCTTTTAAAGTAGTTTTTTATTACAAAAATTTTTAATTTAAAAAATTTTTGTACTAAAAAGTTACTTTATGAAGCATGAACAAAGTAGTTCCAAACGAAACCTAAAAATTATATTGAAATAAGTTTTGAGGCTTCGTTTGTTTGGGGTGGCTTTTTTAGAGCTTCTTAAAGTAAATTTTTAATAAATCTGCTTGTTGCTATCGTTACATACATTTGTGGCCTATTTGTTTTTCTTGTGAATTGTCTCTGTGGTGAAAGTTTTTCATTTTAGAGAAATCATTTTTAAAATTTTAGAAAATCAAGCTTAATTTTCTTTTTTTTTTCCCCCGAGTTGGCCATGATAGCAACTTTCCCTCTCTTTGAACATTTTAAGAGGTCCTGCGACAATAATTTTATTTGAAGGGAGGTCGAATGAGTTATATTTGTTTGCTTAAATTTTAATGAATTTAATTTTTAGTCTTCATAATATTATTTTGTATTATATTTGGATGGTTTGAATAAAATTCATATTATAATTCATTATTTTGTTAATTTAACATTTACCTATATTATTATTGGATAGAAAATTTGTAGGAGAGTCCAATACATGAATAGTGTATCAGTTAAACTAAAGTATTTATATGAAAATTTTAGATAGAAAAATTTCATTGGGTTTTGCCTAGTTGAAGTGATATCAGTATATGAGTATTGATTATAAAGGTTTGCTTGTTTGATATTGAGATGATAAGAGTACAATAATATGATGAAGAGTTGGTGGAAATTATGAGTGGAAATTATGTGTAGTTTCTATGAGGGAAAAGGAGTTTTGATGGTTGTCGTTTAGTGACAATAGTTCTGTAGTGTTGATCAAGTGGTGAAGGCTCAATAATAAGGTGAGAAATTATTCTGTGTAGATATGCAGAATGTCATTCGTAGACCAACCAAAATGCATCACATCAACAATATCGAGCGAAGGGTTGATGTGGCACATTCTGATTGGGCTCCGGACGGTGTTGGCATTTGCACAAAGTAATTAATCCAATGAGACTGATTAGGTGACATCGGTTCGGCGATGGCAGTATAGTGAGAGTGGTGTTAGATGATGGTTGTTGAAAGATAGAGATTCAATTTGATGTTAGTGGCTTGTTGATGGCTGTGGTGGTGTTGCCTTTGTGGATTTACAATATTAGCAAGCTGAGGTTGGTAGGGAAATTTTTAGCTGCATTGTAGTGAATTTAATTGTTTAGGTGGTTAATATCATGAGTTATTTTTATTGATTACGTATTTTAAATTTCATACAAATAAGACGTAAGTGTCATTGCTATTAAATTTTGACTTGTTTTTAATGTAATATAAACATATGTAATTACATTAAAATCTAATCAATCATTTTTTAAAAAGAAAATTTATATAAATGCTATTAAATTTTTACGTATTTATATCAATTTTAATGTTAAATAATATGCATACATATAATATTTGGTTTTTAATCAGTTAATATCAAAGCTATATTTGTTATAATTTAAAATTGTAAGTTTTATGTAAAAATTTAGATATAAATGCATAGATAAGTAAGCAGTCCTTTTTAAGGGATTGTTTAAATATATTTTTCACAGATATTTAACGTATCAAATAAAAAATTTAGATTGTGAGAGAAGGGGCGTTGCGAGAATCGAACTCGCGACCTCTCGCACCCAAAGCGAGAATCATACCACTAGACCAAACGCCCGTTCTTGTCACATTTATTTTAAATAATTTTTTTTTACACATTTGAAAAATTAAACTATTAAAAAAATTATAAATAAATTCTATTTAACACATAAATAATGAAAACTTAATTTTATATTACACATCATTAAATAAGATATTTGGGTTTTAAATAGAAGAAATGTGTTAATTCTTTCTGAATATAAATAATTTTTATTGCCAAAGCGAGTTTTAGACTTGAAAATATTGTGAAATTAATTATTTATGATATCAAATATAATCAGCTGTTCTTTTCTCCAATGATCGCCTCAGCCTCTCCGAATCTGATTTATTTTGTTAGACGTAAAATAAATATTTAATTTTTTTGAAGAACAAATATAGAAAAGTATGTTTTGAATGTTATATATGCAATTATTTGAATTTAGATATGCAAATCTCAATGTTTTGATAGCCATTCTATAAAAAACAACCAGATTAAGAAGCTTTAGTATACTTAGATTTAATTTTTCAATAAATACTCAAAATTAATAGAAATAAATAAGTTCGCTTTATATAAATATATTATCTTAAAAGAAATTAATAAACATTATTTGAATTATCATATGCCTAAAGAAATAGATAAATTTTAACAATTCTCCCAATAAATAATAAATTATTTCAAATCCAGCAAATTAAAAATTTAATCCAAATATCTGAACAGTTTTCTCCCTAATTAGATTTAGATTGAACAGAGGGAAACATTCTAAATGCGAATTTTACCAGACAGGACCCTTAAATAGCCTTTTAGATTACAACGATTACTTACTCACCTCTTATTAATTAGCAAACTAAAACTTCGTTTGCGACAATTTTTTTATTACTTCTTAAAACAGCTTTTTAGAATAAAGATTAAACTTTTGTACTGAAAAGCTATTTTAAGAAGCAGTAAAAAGCTGTCCAAAATGAACTAAATGAAACATAAAGAGATAAGGGAGGTAAATAACCAGCAAAGGAGCAGAAAAGTGCACCAGTTACTTCATCAGGTTCATATCAGAGCTTGGATTTGGGCTTAGAATTGTTTTGTAGCACAATCATCACTTTTCCGATAGCCTTCCTGTCTTTAATAGCAGCGAAAGCAAGATTTGCCTGTCAAAAAAGAATGAGAAAGAAGATATTCTGATTATGATAGAAATACAATCTCTCAAAATTAGGTATTTTTTTTTGTTTTCTTATTTTGAACCCAAATTATAGTATAAGAAACCATATAATTGGATCAAAATATTCATGATAGATCTCAAAATTGAAATAGGAGCAATATATGAATGAACGATGGTCAGATAACTGAAACAAGTTTTGGAGAAAGAAAGGGCTGCGGACTGTTCTACAAGCCAAAATATAGTGATCAATAGAGTCGAATTATCCCATGAGGAATTCCTTAAAAAAAAAAAATTTTTAAGGCCCCAAAAATCACCTTTTGGATCTCTTTTTTAAGGCCTTAAAATGTGTAAAGCAAGAACAAGTCCCTAGCAAATACCCGTACTTTTTTTTTCTATTAAGATTTATGTTTTTTTTTTTTTTGAACAAATCCCTACAAAATAGAGAGATTTGTTCATATATCAACTTTTGCTTGCATGACAAGAAATGTCAAACTATAGTAAAAACTTGAACTCAAAACTATAATAGTTTGAATTAAAATGAGGTCATGGTAGCATTTATTCTATATGTGATGAAAAAGAGTAAACCAAATACAATATGAATAAAAATTGAAGAAAAAATATTAGGTCAAAACATCCTCAACAAAATTTGATTATGATAGACATTAAGACTTCATTTGGGATAATTTTCTTAAAACTTTATAGAATTATTCTAGAAAAAAAATAACTTTTTATAACGGTTGTAAGAAGAAGAAATTTCTTAATAATTTTTTTTTAAGCAACAAAAAAATAAAGATCAAACAAAAACTATGATCACGCATTGAGAAATTTGTTTCAAACGAAGCCCAAGTCTTTTGTTTAGGAAGATTTTCTTACTATTCTCTTCAACAACTTTCTAGCACAATAACTTCTTGAAAGTTGAGAAAAAATAGTTACAAAAAACTATCCCGAACAAGCTTAAAAATCATAAATTTATTTTGAGATGGGAACTGTATAAGAATTATCTAATTATTTATATATTATACTCATCTCAAAATAAATCTAAGAATTTTAAAATTCATCCTCACCAAAATTTGGTGAGAATATCCAAACCCAATTTCTCTTTAAGAAAATAGCACATAAGTTTATCATATAATGTAATACTCACTAGAAATGAATAAAAAATGAGGATTCATGAAAATAATCACAAATAACTGGTAATATGACTAATGCTGATAATGATAAAACGCACTTATCGAGAAATTCCTCTATAAGAGATTCCTATTAGGGTTTTTGTCCCTGATGATATTGCAAGAACCGAGCAGCGGACCTGCTGTTTCGCAAACTGCTGCTTCACCATTATAAATTTATCCTACTATGGCTTTGTTTGGGATGGCTTTTTTACTGTTTCTTAAAGCAGTTTTTTAGTACAAAATTTTTAATTTTTGTACTAGAAAGCTATTTTAAAAAGCAGGAAGAAAGCCGTCCCAAACGAAGCTTAAGAGAGACTGGGGATTGTGTTATGCTTACCTCTGATAGGCTGTAGGAGTGAGAAATTTTGATCTTAATCAAGCCTTTTGAAAGCCAGGAAAGCAGCTCCTTCAGAGAGTCCTCAAGAATTTTGGGCTGATGAATTCTATAGCTACCCCAATAAAGTCCATGAACGGTCCAGTTCTGAGAATCAACATAAAATATTCATTAAAAAACACGAATTATTTCGAGAATATCATAGCATGCATGTAACATTAGATATTCAAGAACATTAGAAAGCAACTAAGGCTTCGTTTGGGACAGCTTTTTTTTTTCTGCTTATTAAAGCAATTTTTTAATGCAAAAAAATTTAATTTTTGTACTAAAAAGATGCTTTAAGAAGCAGTAAGAAAGCCACGAAACCTAAGACAACATAACATAATTTGTATTTTAGAAAAAAACTTGCAAACATAACTGCATAGCATAAAATTGGGAAAAGCTGAGTTAACACAAGTTTCCTTTCAACTGATGGAGTTATATTGTTTTTGTGCAATTACAAAAATATTCACAATCCATAGGTCACTAAATCATAATTTAGCAAAAATTTATTGCTTACATTATTCAAGGACATCTTTATCATTCCTAAAAAGAACCAAACAATTGTCAAAATCTGAAATTTTACAAGAGAAGTATTGTTCTTTATGAAATTTCAACAACAAATTAAGCTTATGTTTCAAAAAGAAAAGATAGCAGATATTTACTCAACAAGAGGTGCAGAAGCAAGATGGAGAAGTAGCATTGCCAGCAGATGTAGTACTGTAGCACCACAAACGAGTGTTGAATGTTTATGAGCTCGATAAGGTTGCACAACTAGCAAGCAAGGAGCTGTGAGAGGATAACAAGGCAAGCACTGCTAGGCATCTCCAACCGAAAATCTCATTTTTCACTCCAAAATGCAGTGAAACAAAAAATGGCGTGATTCATCTCTAATCAAACTCTAAATTTGCGCCCAGGTAACCGTCTTTCTCCTTCGCGCGTTTCTTCTTCAAATATGATAAACATAGAAAAATAACGCAGGTGAACAGTGCAACACCAATATTGACGTCGCACTGTTCACCTGCAATCAAATACCAGAAGTTTTGTCGTTTGACTGGAGCTCACGAGCGACGCCATTCATGTGTTTGGGGTTTGGTTGGAGAAAGACTAGGGATTGTAGGGAGGACATGGAAGTCTAGGAATTGGAACGAGGAGGCAATGACACCACGTTATGAGTAGAGAATTACATGATCTTATTCACTAAATAACACTGCCTATTTATAGGTGTATAGTATAATACAATAGGAAGAAAATAAATCAGAGAACAATTCTAACTAAGAACATATATATATATATATATTCCCGAATTATTGACAATTTCCTAATATTATTTCCTACTAAACATCAAATGCTAACACCACCAATGGGGATAAAATATTAAAAAAGAAATTTTTATGATGGAACTTCTTATATAGTCAACGATGTTCTAAGTTGGGCCATACTAGATAACATTGGCCATGAATTGAATAAGATACAGCCAAACTAAAGACATATAAGTAAACTTAAATCAAAACATAGTATGCTGTTCAAAAGATATAAAAAAAAGATTTTGGTAATAAAAATAGGCCACCTTAACAAGAGCAATGTTTGCAGGGATAACTGGTACTTCACCACTAGCAAATCCTATAACCAGGATTTTTGCTCCCCAATTTAGAAGCTTCATGCTTTCCTTCGTAAGTTTGCCTCCGACTGGATCATAAAGAACATCAACTCCTTTTAGCCCTCTAGTCTTTAAATACCGCCGCACGGTTTCTATTACATTTTCTTTGGTGAAATCAACAACATAATCAACCCCCATGGACTGCAGCAACTTTACTTTTTCATCCCCCCTAGAAGTTATAATTCTTATAAAAATTACTCTCTTCCTCTTTGTCACAAACCATAAACTGGACAGACCAAAAATAAGAACAATACAAGCATACCTAACAACAGCGATGACCACAGCACCACAAGCCTTCCCAATCTGTACAGCTGAAAGTCCAACACCACCAGCAGCACCAAGAATAAGTAATACCTGAAATTAATGTAAAAGCAGAAATAGCTGAAATGTCCAACGTAAAGCATGAATAATATAATATTATCAAAACACAACAATATTCTGAAATTTAGGGTTCGTTTGGGACGACTTTTTATTGCTTCTTAAAGCAACTATCTAGTTCAAAAGTTAAAATTTTTATACTAGAAAACTGCTTTAAGAAGCACCAAAAAAGTCATCCCAAACGAAGCCTTATTTTCTAGCCTATTCACCCAACTAGTGATCTTTGTTTGCATGAGCTGCAACTTGGGAGCCATTTATGTTAGTTGTTTGCAAGCAGAATAGTCTTCTCAACAGCCTTTTTGCAGACAAGCCCCAAAAGTTCGAGACCGTTACGGTTAGACATTACTAAGCCCTAATTTATGCATATTTGGTCTTTAAATGTTGATGATATCTCGATCACAACTAGACGAAGATCCAGAAGATGAAAGTTGATTCAAATTCAATATTTGAGATGAAAGAAATTGGAGCTGCTAAGAAGATTTTGGGTATGGAAATAATTAGGAATAAATCATGTACATCATTTCTAACATAATAGAGATATGCTGAGAAGGCACTATAAATATTTGGATTGAAGGCTACCATGCCTATTTGATGGAAATGGAAGATGGGCTACTCATGACAACATTAAAATGACATGAATAGAGAATATATATTATCATTCAAAGAGAATAATAACACAAAGAAAAATATAAAAAATATTTATAGAGAACTCACGAAATAATCCTAACAAAAGGAATTCACCAAGCTTTACCTTTCATCGCATACAAGCAACATCTTACATTATTTCAATACAACATGATTGTCTAATACAACTAACTCCATATTTTTAAGAAGTAGAATGCTGAATGCATACTATTACAAACATTAACGGAAGAAAAACAAAAATCAAAATCTTCATGATTTGATTGCATAATTGATGTCCATTTTACTTAGCCAAAAATATCTTTAATTATGATTCATCCAAAGCTTCCTTTTTGTATTAGAACCTTGATTTAAGGTAGAGAGATATGGGGAAGGACATTCTATAATAATTATTATTTTTTTACAATTGAGAATTTTATTATTAACTTTATTATTATTATTATTATTATTATTTACAATTGAGAATTTATACACTTAGCCAGAAACTAGATATACTCTGAGAGAAGTAAGCTTATTGAAGTTTGCTAACACATCATCAGAGGATAGAATAACAAGACTTCTAAATGAGATCACATGTAAAAGGAGTAGTCTGATGATTTCTTTATGTTTTCTTTGAAATTATGAAGGGAGATGATCAATTTATTTTCCGTCTTGGCAATTTAGTGATAAAAGTTCTTTTTTTGCTCTTCGGCTTTCTTTTATGAAAGATTGCTCTAGTTTGGTGAGATATTATCTATACCTCCTTATTAGTTATGTGAAAGAGAATTTGCACTCCTCCATATTCAGATAGTGGAAATATTTGTAGCTTCGTACCCCATGGATGGAGATCAATCTTAGTCTGAATCACCTGAATCCTAAAGTAGTGCTCTTTACTATGCTTTAATTTATTGATTCAATGCCATATTTGTTTGTGGTGCTAGCTTTGTTTCTCACAGGTTAAACTATTGCTCTCTTTGGTGCCCCCTAAATACAGGTTTGAGCACTTCCATTACAACAAAGCCCAAGGTGGTTGGTTATTAGTTGCTTTAAGAGCTCATTTTAACATATAACTACATTTTATCAAGATGCAAAAGGTATGAAGTAATATAATACTACAATATACATAATAAAAACTTTAAAATATGCTCGTATGCCAACCTATGATGCACCGACACTTCTTTTCAAAGAGTCGTGTAGTGTCCGACACGTATCTAACATGACACGCGTTCGACACATGTCAAATACGCCAAAAACTTGTCCGATTAAAAAAATATTAAATACAAATTTGACACACATATCCGACATGGCGTCGTTACAACATCAACATTTCAAAGCCATCTCAACATCAAAGTTTGACAGACTGACACTGTCTTGACATTGATGCTCGATCTAGCAATTTCTAAACCCACAACTTTATAGCTCATCTTTGTCCGATGTATTCTTAACATTGACCCACGACATAAGCCCTCTTAACATCGACGCCCGATACTTAATGCATAACATTGATGCTCAACTCTCAACAACATTGTCGTCTCTTCTCTCGATGTCTGATACACGACAACGACGTCTGCCTCTCAAAATCCTAATGTTAATCATTTTAAGCAAAATTTCTAGTTAAATAACTAATTATTTCTAAATAATTTTTAATATTTTATTTATCAAATTTTTATTCACATTTTAAAATATAAAAATTATATTACCATATCCAACCGTGTCTGTGCATCATAGAAGCCAACTATCGGTATGCCAACATAACATCACTTCTCCATTGATCTATACGATCTGCTAGCATGGAAATTCTTGAACCAATTGGGCTAGCCCTTGATTATGAATATCATCCTAGTTTGCTGAAGCTAACCCAAAAATACCTGATAGTTGAATTTATTATATTCTAACCAGAAAATCTGAAATCAAATGCATACTTATTAAACCTTACAAGCATATATGCACTGATAAATGCTAGCAATCTCATAATCCACACTCCTTTTAGATGTGAAAATTAGATCTAGAGCTCATTCTACAGCTATGAGAATATTCAATAAACAAGAGTGCTCTTGTATTGACCAAGGTATCAATGATGGCCTGAATTTCAGAAACATTCCAAGCATATTTTTCGCAGCTGCAACTACAACACCCCATATTAATACGAGCAGCTTTCGGAAGAAAACGAAGCTTCATCATAAACCAAAGTTGCTTACATACCAACTACAAGCAGTTTATTTTAAAACAAAAGAAAACTTACTTGCCTTGCAATATTCTCATTATCAGAATATAAACAATTAAAGATAAGCAGTTTTCCTTAATATCACAATATACACATGTGAATATAACAACTCTCGGCCAATAAAAGATGAGCAATGCTACACTCCCCAAAAAACCTACATAAAAACTCATTTTACGCTATCACTTGATTAGGTGGATCAATAAAAATCCTCCTCAAAAAGTGGAACCCAATTGACTTGTTTGTGCAGATTTGTTTGCAGAGTTTATAACAATACTCTAATATATTACACCAGTTTTTAGTCGTGCCCATACAGAGAGGTTTTCGTATCATTAACTTCTGAATATAAAAAATAATAACAAGTTGATGGTGCTGAATAAAGTTGAACTCAAATAGTTAGAATAAAGATAATGCTGATGATGACAACCAATAATATGCAAAAAAAAAGGATAACTGAAAGGGAGAACTACCTGCCCAGCCTTTAATTGTGCCCTATGGACAAGAGCAACATGCGAAGTGCCAAATGCAACAGGTAGTGCGCCAGCATCAACTAGATCACATCCATGAGGCACTAAATATCTTTTTAATCGAGGAAAGAACATCAAAAACAGTTTTAGATGTTAACAAGCAAACCAAAAAGAAGATAACATGACCTATACATATCAGATGATAATAACCTTGCATTCAAGAGAGTTGTTCAAAAAAGATTCTAGTATAAAAAGAAAATGAACAATGATAAGAAAGCATAAGGAAACAAAATCTGCAAACAAAGGTCAAACAAGTTAAACAAAAGCAGGGGCAGGAATAGTAGGGGAAAATAGATTACACATATTTTAGGCAACTTACAGGAACTAAGTAGCCGTCATTCTCATGTAACAGAAAATGTGATAGGCAGATTGACCAAGAAGCAGCACATTACCAAGGTGGCCTCCAAGAAAAGATCAAGGCATATGCCAAATCTTTATCATCTCAACACTTCATTATTATAGAAAACATAGGTAGATGCAGCACATAATATACATAATTGAAACATTAGAGCTAAATAAAAAAATCTGCGAGGATCAGTTGGTTGAAATTCTTCCTTCTTTCCCGCATTCGCTAGCCCCGTGCTAGACGCTCAACTTCCCACCAAAACAAAAAACAAAAAAACTTCGATAAATTTAAGGTATTAAAATTTCCTCCATACTATACTACTCCCCCTACACAAGTAAATTTCACTCGCGTTTCAACAAAGTTAGAAATACACCAATGAAAATAACATAAAAGGGCATCGACAACCAAAGCATGATCGGCAAAAAATAGAGCCCCTCCGTCTGAACTTAGTTTTAATGTTAATTCAAAAAAAAATGCCACAAAAAACTTACAAATCTTTCTCATCGGCCACAATCAACTCAGCGAAGGATCCAAGACTCGCCATCGAGCAAACCTTGTCCCCAACCCTAAACCTGGAGACGCGCTCTCCTACGGACTCCACGATGCCCGAGTAGTCAGAACCGGGGATGAACGGCAGAGGGGGCTTCTCTTGGTATTTCCCCAGTATCTGTAGGTAGTTGGCGAAATTAAGACTCGTCGCATAGATCCGAACCCTAACGGCAGTGGGAGAATTGAGCTCCGGAACAGGGTGAGAACGAGACAATACAATTGGAGAGGAATCGGATAACGGAAGTGTCGGATCGCCGATCTCTCGGCACACGAGAGCTTCCATGAGACAGAGATAGAGCGCTTTGTCGGTTCGCCGGAAATTTCGATCGCGCGGGCGAGAGAGAGAGAGAGAGAGAGAGAGAGAGGACAGTGAGTGAGCTTGTAATTTTCGGCTACGTTAGTTCTTATAAGTTTCGTGGCGAGTTTGAACGAGGTGCGATCGTAAAATTCTATGCGGGAGCTGCTCGTGCTTACTGGACGTCCGATTAAACGTGGATAAATCGTGAGCGTTGGTGTATATATATATATTTTGGGACAGGGAGTATCGGCCTTCGGTCACTAATCTCCCCGGTCGATCTAACGGACTACCCACACCAATTCGCCCGGGCCAACACTTAAGGCTTTCGTGGCCGCCCATGAGAATCGAACTCGAGACCTCGGCTTTGCCAAGGAGGTTCTTTCCCACACGAGCTAAGATACGGTGGGTCTATTTTTATATACTTACTCCTCCTCAATAAGATTTAAGGAAGTGACTCAGCTTCGTTTGTCCGTTTGGGTCAGTTTTTTTTGTTATGATTCTTAAAATAAAATTTTAATATAAAATTTTAATTTTAAAATTTTATTAAAAAATTGATTTAAAAATTAGTGAAAAAATTATCTCATGTAAATGACTTTTTTTGTTACTTCTTAAATCAGTTTTTTAGTATAAAATTTTAAATTTTTGATTAAAAAGATGCTTTAAGAAATAACAAATAACAGTCAGAAACGAAGCCTCAATCAATATAATTTGACTTGAATTTGAGCATATAAATTAGGTTTAAGATTTACTCATTTAATAAATAATTTAAATTCAAGTTAGAAATTATGATCTATTTAATTGCTTGGTTGTATTTTGACTAACCCATAAATCTAATTTTGATCCAATAGAGACTAATTTAATTATTCTTTCATTAGATTCTTTTGCTTTTTGATATGCTCTTCTTATTTTGATTAATTAATCTAAAATTTATAGTTACTAAGTTGCAAAATTTTTTAATCAAAACAAGTAATCTAGTTGAATATGAGTCATATAGTTGCCAACGGATCGGATTCAAGTCAACTTTTTGACCAGTTTATTAAACAGGTTGGGTTCCAATCAATATGATTCATATTGAATCAATTTTAAATCCATTTTGATCCCTAAAAAATTCTTATAAAATTTTAAATTTTATAATTTTGATGCATATATTACATTTTCATTGCATTCATGAAATAAAGAATAATGTACTAGAATGCATGTAGCTCTTTTTTTTTTAAATAATTATATAAGACATTTTAATAGATTAAAAAATTAAAAAAAAAAAGAGGAATATATATTTTTTTATATAAGTTCTATTAGAGCACAATGTGATTGTTTGAAATTTAAATTTACATTTTAAGAAAATAATCAATTTACTAATCTATATCGTTTGTTTGGGTGTAAGGAGAAATAAATAAAATTTCTAAAATCACAAACAACTTCAAATTCTATCAAATAGTCACATTTTATTTTTAAACAAATTAAAGCTTCATTTGGGACAACTTTCTTTCTATTTCATAAAACAATTTTTTTCTTTTTTTTTTAATTTAATTTTTTTAACTAAAAAACTGATTTAAAAACAGTAAAAAAAAACTAATTCTCTGCCCAACAAATAACAGATAACCCAAATGCCACCAATGGAAGAGAATTTTAGTTAGGCACTAATCTCATCTATATGACATGGCTCATTTATCCACCTTATGATTTATCAATATATCAAAATATTTCATCAAAAAACTTGTAAATATTTCTCTTGGAGGAGAAACTATTCTGTACGGAGACCAGATGCAAAACGCTGTCCGGAGGCCAATCAGAATGTGCCACAGCAACGGTACTGAGCCCGAGTACCAAGCGGTACCGAACAGTACCAAGTTGTGGTACTGAGCATAGGGTGATGTGTCTCATTCTGATTGGTGACACTATCTTAACTCTGAAGAAGACAAGAGAGACCCACCACGGAGTGGCCTGGTGGTGGAGACTTGGCTGGCCAAAGGCCAGGTATCAAGTTCGAATCCCCTCGACGCTTCGTGACAGCCTTAAGTGTCGGCCCGTGTAAATTGGTGTGGGTTGCATGCTAGGTCGACCAGGGAGATTAGTGGCCGAAGGCCGATACTCCTTGTCCCAAAAAAAAAGAAGACAAGAGAGTTGCTTTCAGCACAGTGAGCCTATGCTGCAGTGAGCCTGTGCTGCAGTGGTCCAAGAGGGTGCTGGGTACATAGGGCATTACCAGCTCTTTGAAGTGTTCAAAGACTTAGTTTTAATGTTAATTAAAAAAAAATGCCACAAAAACTTACAAATCTTTCTCATCGGCCACGATCAACTCAGCGAAGGATCCAAGACTCGCCATCGAGCAAACCTTGTCCCCAACCCTAAACCTGGAGACGCGCTCTCCTACGGACTCCACGATGCCCGAGTAATCGGAACCGGGGATGAACGGCAGAGGGGGCTTCTCTTGGTATTTCCCCAGTATCTGGAGGTAGTTGTGGAAATTAAGACTCGTCGCATAGATCCGAACCCTAACGGCAGTGGGAGAATTGAGCTCCGGAACAGGGTGAGAACGAGACAGTACAATTGGAGAGGAATCAGATAACGGAACTGTCGGATCGCCGATCTCTCGGCACACGAGAGCTTCCATGACACAGAGATAGAGCGCTTGTCTGTTCGCCGGAAATTTCGATCGCGCGGGCGCGAGAGAGAGAGAGAGGGGGGACAGTGAGTGAGCTTGTAATTTTCGGCTACGTTTGTTCTTATAAGTTTGCGAAGTGCGATCGTGAAATTCTATGCGGGAGCTGCTCGTGCGAACAAAAAGGACATTGGACGTCCGATTAAACGTGGATAAATCGTGAGCGTTGGTGTGGTTGCTTACTGATTAATGCTAGATTCTATTTTTCTATACTTAATAAAATTTAAGGTGATTAATGCTAGATACTGTCAGCTTAGCATAATATCACGTTATCCTGTACCAACATTAATTACCATCTTTTAACTGCTTTCTTTTATTTAAAGGCTTTTGTACACACTTTACATTTGAATACAATTTTCCTTTTTCCTCTTCGTCTCCTGTCTGTGTCTTCTCTTCCTCGCGATCTTGAATTGCTTTCATGGTATCAAGAGCCACTTAATGGGGGATCAAGATTCAGCCTCCTCTCTACCTCCCTCCTCCACCGCCATCACCGGAAATCCCAACCCCGAGCCAGTTATCCCGGCTTCACTGAAATTTCTCATCACCAACATCAAAAATCTCCTCCCCCACCCTCTCACCACCGACAATTACGCCATTTGGCGAACTCAAATCCTCCAGCAATTTTCTGCCACCGGCTACGTCGCCCATCTCACCGGCGATGTCTCTCCACCTCTCGCCGACAATCAGCCCGCCTACACAGCCTGGAAACTGGTTGACAGCACATTGATCTCGGCCCTCTTCTCTACTATATCACCTTCTATCTTGCCTTACGTCATCAACGCCTACTCGGCCTCAGACGTATGGCTGATTCTTGAACGCAGGTTACAATCCTCATGTCGTTCTCGAGTTCTCCAACTCAAGAATGAACTCCATCATCTCCAAATGAAAAATCTATCCATGCAACAATATTTAACTCAAGTCAAGACTATCGTCGACAATATCGCTGCATCCGGCTCCAAAGTCGATCCCGAAGACATTATTCTCTACACCCTCAATGGACTTCCCGCCGCCTACAACTCTTTCAAGACTTACATTCGCAACTCCTCTGTTCTAGCCGATCTTGACTCACTCTATTCACTCCTTTGTAGTGAAGAAATCTACGTCAATCAAAAATATTCGCATTCGCTAGCCCCGCGCTAGACGCTCAACTTCCCACAAAAAAAAAAAAAAAAAAAAAAAAAAAAAAAAAAAAAAAAAACTACGATAAATTTAAGGTATTAAAATTTCCTCCATACTATACTACTCCCCCCTACACAAGTAAATTTCACTTGCGTTTCACAAAACATATGCAACAAAGTTAGAAATACACCAATGAAAATAATATAAAAGGGCATAGACAACCAAAGCATGATCAGCAAAAAATAGAGCCCCTCCGTCTGAACTTAGTTTTAATGTTAATTAAAAAAAATGCCACAAAAAACTTACAAATCTTTCTCATCGGCCACGATGAACTCAGCGAAGGATCCAAGACTCGCCATCGAGCAAACCTTGTCCCCAACCCTAAACCTGGAGACGCGCTCTCCTACGGACTCCACGATGCCCGAGTAATCGGAACCGGGGATGAACGGCAGAGGGGGCTTCTCTTGGTATTTCCCCAGTATCTGGAGGTAGTTGTGGAAATTAAGACTCGTCGCATAGATCCGAACCCTAACGGCAGTGGGAGAATTGAGCTCCGGAACAGGGTGAGAACGAGACAGTACAATTGGAGAGGAATCAGATAACGGAACTGTCGGATCGCCGATCTCTCGGCACACGAGAGCTTCCATGACACAGAGATAGAGCGCTTGTCGGTTCGCCGGGAATTTCGATCGCGCGCGCGCGCGCGAGAGAGAGAGAGAGAGAGGACAGTGAGTGAGCTTGTAATTTTCGGCTACGTTTGTTCTTATAAGTTTGGTGGCGAGTTTGAACGAGGTGCGATCGTGAAATTCTATGCGGGAGCTGCTCGTGCGAACAGTAAGGACATTGGACGTCCGATTAAACGTGGACAAATCGTGAGCGTTGGTGTGCTTGCTTACTGATTAATGCTAGATTCTATTTTTCTATACTTACTCCTCCTCAATAAAATTAAAGGTGATTAATGCTAGATACTATTTTTCTATACTTACTCTTCCTCAATAAAATTTAAGGAAGTCAATAAATTACTCAGCTTCGTTTGTCCGTTCGGGATAGTTTTTTTTTTTAAATAATTTTTACATAAAAATTTAATTTTAATTTTATACTAAAAATTATTTTTGATATGTCACCAAAAAATATCTTGATCCTCCATATATTTACAAGTCATGTCACCCTCAAAAAACTATAAATAGCCCCCATTCTTCTCAAGAGGGGTTTCGGAGCTCTCTTGCCACCGACCACCGTTGGAGCTCCTGCCGACCACCACCGGGGTTCCTGCTGACCACCGACGGAGTTCCTGTAAAACCCTTCTGAATTTCTTTTTTTTTTGTGCAGTTAGTATGTACGAACTGACTTTAGTACAAACGAACTGAAGAAAGTTTTGAAAATATGTATGGTTAGTACGTACGAACTACACGTACGAACTGAGTATGTGCAGGTTCGTCTGTATGAACCTGAGTTCGTCCGGGACGAACTGAACAAAATTTTTGCCAGAGAGCATCGTCTAGGGACGAAATCAGACATCGTTTGTATGCTCGTGTCCAGAGAGCTTAGTCCCGGGACGAATGGAAAACATTGTCTGGATGATCGAGTTCATTAAATAGATGATTTGAGATATTTTTGAAGAGAGAGAAAAGTAGGAGAGAGAAAGAGAAGGAAACTGAAGGAAAAAAAGCTTGGTTTTGTAGGCCGCGATGCGATTTTCGTCCGACGCCACTATTGGAAGAATTGTTTGTTTCACTGTAAGGAATCCGAATCTTATTTCTGATTTCGAAGATTTCGTGTTTTGGTATTTTTCTGCTCAGATTTGTGTTTTCGTTACTGAAAAATGTGCATATCTTTGTAGTGACGAAACTTTTACCGCGTAACTTTCGGTATGTTATTGAAATGATGATTTTGCACGATTTAAATATTTTATGGAGATTTTTCACCGGGTATTTTGAATTCTATGGGATTTTTATCGAATAGATAATTTTCTAGATGTTGAAAAATATTGCTTCAGTACAAGTAAAATTTTGAAATGATGTTTTATTCGATTTATGATAATTTTGTAATTTTTTGAAACTGTGTATTTTGATCCTGTTTGGAATTTATGTCGACTGTACGATATTTTAAGGATTTTCTTCAATTGAGTTAAATTGTGTTTGTTGATTGTCATGCATTGATGAGATGTACATGAATGTGAATATATGATTGAATATACTACTAATATATTACTGAAAGACAAGTAAATACTAGTTGAACCGTTGGTTGGAGACTGATTGACCTGTACATGATGGTGGGCTGACGGGCTTTCCTTTAAAAGGGGTTTGGTGTTATCCTCTACTGATCATGTGATTACTGATGGGAGTTATAAGGAGATTACTGTGCCGACGGGCAAGAGTGACGACTCTATTTACTGAGCCAACAGATTACTGACATTGATATTAACCTTAAAAAACATCTTAATAGCCAGTGATTGTACTTGTTAAGTAAGACTACTATACTTGAATGCATGTGTAAAGTATTATTCTTATGATTAATTTATGGAATTACCGATATTGAACTGATTTATCGATATTGAACGGATTTATTGATTTATGTATGAATTTACTGATATCAACGAATTTATTGATATTGAATGGATTTACTGACGGATTTATGAGTTTACTGTCACTGCACGATTTCATTGATATTGCATATTGTTTACCGATTCTACTATGATTCATTGTATTGATCTTATAACACGTGATACATCGAATACTGACTGATACAAGTGATACACTGACAAGACTGATAACATATGATTCACTGAACAAATGAATTGTATTGCATGTGATACACCGAACATGTGATATAGAATATGCTTTTACTATATTGTTGTGATTTTAACTGTTCTTAACGATGTATTGATTTGATTGTTTTATATGATTCAATACTGATTGATGTTATTGACCGGAATTGATTTCTCTTGATACTGACTGATATGATTGATCCGATGATTTCTTTTTTGATTTGACGCACGTACTGATTCATTGAGCTTTACGAACTTTAATAATGTTTAATGATACGATTGAGGATTTTACTATTTTTGTACTGATTATTGTTTATGCATTGATTATTACTTATGTACTGATTTTTGTATTTGCATCGATTCAATGATCATGTGTAAGTGGCTAATATTGATTTGACTAATTGACATGCATATTGCTTCCGTACCGTGCTTTGATTTCAGTTGTAGGTTTTTGGTGCACTGCTGGACTTTTTAAGCTCATTATATGTGGTTAATGATTTTAGGCATACAGACACTAGCATAGTTTTCGTAGTTTTTAGTTCATGTATTATTTTGTAGCCCAAGCGGCTATTGTATATATTCTTTTGGACGCTACTTTTGGATTGTAATTGTGAAATATCGTAATGTGAATTATATTTTTATATTGTATTTATTTTCTTTAATGCAATTATCATTTCTGGATGTCTGTATTGATCTGAGCGAGAAGAAAGAATAAGAAGAAAAGTATGTCGATGAATCCTTTCACTATAGATATCTGGGACGTAACAGTTCCTGCCAACCACCGCCGAGGTTCCTGCAGACCAACACCGAGGTTCCTGTCGACCACCGCCGGAGTTCCTGTCGACAACTGACGGACTTATGCCAGTCCGTCGACCGTCGCTGGACTTCCACCAGTTCGCCGACCCCCACCAGACTTCCGCTTGTCCGCTGACCAATGCCAGACTTCTGCCTATCCGCCGACCACCACCAGACTTCCGCTCGTCCGCTAACCAATGCCAGACTTCTGCCTATCCGCCGACCATCGCCAGACTTCTGCTCATCTGCCAATTATTGCTGGAATTCTTCCCGATCGTAGCCAGAGTTCTTTTCGGGCACCAATGGACATCTGCCAATCCACTGAACACCACAGTACTTCCGCCAATCCGCCAACTACAGCCCTCCCAACTACTGTCATCCGACTAGAGTCATCCAGACCTTTGTCGCAGGCTGACTACAATTTTTCGGACCTCCATCGTCCACCGACTATGTTTTTTCTGACCTCTGTTGTCTGTCGACAACGGTCCTTGCGACCCACGTCGCCCGCCGACTACATTCCTCGCTTACTACTGTCCTCCTGACCTTCGTCGCCCGCCGACTATGGTCCTCTCGACCTTCGTCGCCTGCTGACTACGGTCCTCGCAACCTTTGTCGCTCGCCGATTACAATCTTTGCGACCCGCGTCGCCCGCCGACTACATTCCCAGCCGACTACGGCCCTCCTGACCTTCGTCGCCCGCCGACTATGAGCCTCTTGACCTTCATTGCCCGCCGACTACGGTCCTCGCGACCTTTCTCGCTCGCCGACTACAATTCTTCTGACTCCCATCACCCGCCGAATATGGTTCTTCCGATATACAATGCTCGCCAACTATGATTTTGCCTCCCCAAATAAGTATGTCAACATTGATTCATCCAACTCCCACCATCTAATATACTATATATGATGCATATTTACTACATCGAGCCAAGACCTTCCTCTTAAGGAAGGGCCTCATTTGTAATAGATTGCAAAAACTAATGGATTCATTTAGACTGGGCCAGGTCCCGTGGTTTTTCCCCCTTTTTAGGGGTTTCCACGTAAAAACTCTTATATCTCTTATAAATGTTACACCCTCTTTTCATCTGTTTGTATGCTGGATCTTCGTTCAAAGCTAAGGCATTAATATTTATATTTTTCTACCGCCGCGAATTTTCCAGGAAGCAACAATTTTAGAAAGTATTAAAAAAACAGTCCCATAATGATGACTTTTTTTTGTTGTTTCTTAAAGCAACTTTTTAGTTAAAAAATTAAACTTTTTTAACTAAAAGCTATTTTAAGAAACAATAAAAAAGTCATCTCAAACAAAACCTCAATCCATATAATTTGACTTGAATTTGAACATAAAAATTAGGATTAAGATTTACTCCTTTAATAAATAATTAAAATTTAAGTTAGAAATTATGATTTATTTAATTGCTTGGTTGTATTTTGACTAACCCATAAATCTAATTTTGATCCAATAGAGACTAATTTAATTATTCTTTTTTCATTAGATTTTTTTGGCTTTTTGATATGCTCTTCTTATTTTGATTAATTAATCTAAAATTTATAGTTATTAAGTTGCAAAATTTTTTAACCAAAACAAGTAATCTGGTTGAATATGAGTCGTATGGTTGTCAATGGATCGGATTCAAGTCAACTTTTTGACCAATTTATTATACAGGTTGAATTCCAATCAATATGATTCATATTGAATCAATTTTAAATCAGGCCTAAATTCTACTTGTTAATCCATTTTGATCCCTAAAAAAATTCTTATAAAATTTTAATTTTTATAATTTTGATGCATATATGGTATTTTCATTGCATTAATGAAATAAAGAATTATGTAATCGAATGCATGTAGCTTTTTTTTTAAATAATTATGTAAGACATTTTAATAGATTTAAAAATGAAATAAAAAAGAGGAAAATAATATTTTTTATAAGTTCTATTAGAGCACAAGTGATTGTTTGAAATTTAAATTTACCTTTTAAGAAAATAATCAATTTACTAATTTATATCATATGTTTGGATGTTAGGAGAAATAATTAACATTTCTAAACTCACAAACAACTTTAAATTCTCTCAAATAGTCCCATTTTATTTTTAAACATAAATCATGTGAAAAATAAATTATAAAATTTTGAAGTGTCCCTTACAAATATGAGCCTTCAACTACCAGAAATCATAAAAAATTATTTTGTGCGTTCACCGAACGATGTTCAGAAGAGAATCAAAACACGCCATATCATTTTTTTTACTGTATCGCTCGGTACCGGATGATATGGCACATTATGATTCACCTCTGAACCATTCGGTGACTGCACAGAATAATGTCTCCTTCAACCACATATAAGATCTCTTCCAACTTCTATGCCATTTAATCAAAATCAAAGCTTAATGAGATTTGCTTGATCGAATATGGTCTCAAAGAGTTTACTTGCGACGATTACATTTTATAAAATTAGTTGTAGAGACAACAACTTCACTATTATTATTATAAAAAGCAGCTTTTCATCATAATTTTTTTAAAAAAATAATAAGAAAACAATAGCTAAATAAAATTATAATTAATATCTAAAAAATAAAATACCAAAAAGCTATCCCAAACAAAATCTAATTCTCAAATAGCAGAGAACCCAAATGCCACCAATGGAAGAGAAGTTTTGTTAGGCACTAATCTCATCTATATGACATGGCTCATTTATCCAACATATTATTTATCAATATATAAAAATATTTCATCAAAACACCTATAAATGTTTCTCTTGGGGGGTTAATTATTTTGTGCGGATGTCGAACGTCATCTGGAGAACAACCATAATGTACCACATCACTCCTGTGCTCGGTACCTCGGCTCGGTTAAACTGACATGACACATTTTGATTGATCTTCGTACAACATTCTGCACCCGGTGTCCGCACAGAATAATTTCTCCTCATGGGACACCATCTTAACTCTGAAGAAGACAAGCGAGTTGCTTTTGTTTTTCAAGCCATGTAATGTGCTGGATACATTGGGGGGCCTTACCAGCTCTTTAAAGTGTTCAAAGACTCTTCAGGTTTTCAATTATCTCAAGGAAATTCGAAATTTTCTTTATAATTACTAATTCAAGTAAACTACTAATATTTTTTTTTAAATTACTAAGCACTCCCTTAGTTTTTATCTGTTAAAATTAATTATTTTAATTATAATTATCTTGTGTGAACTTGTGATGAATGCAATATTTTTTATCAATTAAACATATTTTATTACTATTAATCATTTAATTTGGTCAAATACAACAAAATGTTAGAACTTTCTCAAGAAATATATGAAAAAAATATACATAATATTTTATTGGGGGGTATATTAATAGCATGCTAAGAATGATAAATATTCATCAATAATGCATTTATGTTACAAAGAAAATAGAAATATAAAATATAGAACTTACCAACATGTTTGGGGAAGAAAACAAACTTGGTTTCTTTTTCTTCATCTCTTGGCCGAGAAAAGTAAGAGCTTTGTGAGAAGAAAGAATTTCATGCTCCCAGTTTAAGAGCTGTATCTATAGAATCTGTGCTGTTCTGCTGCAACCATAACTGGGAGTATCTTCCAGCTCTTGATAGAAGAACTTCATGGGGTCCTTGTTCTACAACCTTGCCATTTTCTAGAACAATAATCTAGAAGAAAAAACAATGGTAGATCGATAAATTCCAAAGTTTTAATAAAAAAAGTTGTTATTGAATCACATTACCGTTGTCTTCTGCGTAAATCTTTAGGAATGGTTAGAAGGTAATGCAATGGGATTTGTGGGTATCTACTACAAAAATCTGAAATATGTAGTTAAGGATATGGAGTTCATGCAAAGCATGCCAGAAGAAGTCGAATCGCCGGTAAAATCGAATCACCGGTGGCCGAATAAGTCAAAAAGGAGGAGATAACGAAGGATAATAAGAAGATGAAGAGGAAACAATGGAGTGCTTAGAGAAGAAAAAGAAGAACGTTTGAACTGTGTTAGGCCTAGCCTGAACATTGCCGGAAGCTGTAGAGGGAAACGCATGAAGGTCTCGTTGAATCCGAGAAATGGCGATTGAAAGAAAAAAGTTCAAATAATGGAGTTAGTGATAGCAACCACATAAGAAATAGGGGTATAATTTTAAATGGGTATTTATTTCACGTTAAACAAAACAAATTAATAATAACAACAAAAATAACATCAAGCCTTTATCCCACTACGTGGGGTTGACTATATGAATCTTTTTTCTCCATTGTGTCATGTTAAGAATCAATTTCTAATTTAAATCTAATAAAGAAAGGTCATTTCTAATATTTTCTAACCAAGTCTTTTTAGGTTGATCTCTACGGCTCAACCTTTCTTAACATAAGCCAAATCTAATACATCTACTCTCCTAACCGGGTCATCGGAAGGCTGCTGTTTAATGTGAACATACCATCTAAGGCAACTCTCTCTAATCTTATCTTCCACTTGAGCTACTCCAACCTTTTCACGTATCATGTCTTTAAGAGTAAAGCCACTCATCTACTAGAGCATTCTCATCTCTGCAACAATTAACTTAATGTTATGCTTCTCTTTTAATGGCCAACATTCTGCACACCACCATCATATAGAATCTTCCTTTAAGTTTGAGGGGGACTTTTCTATCACACAACAACCCGATGCATTCCTCCATGTCAACCATCCAACTTGAATTCTACTAATAATATCCTCATCCATTTCACCATTACTCTGAACAAAAGACCCAAGATATCTCAAACGTCTACTCTTACTCATAACTTGATCACTCAAAGTCATAATCTCTCCACTAGATTTATTAATAACAAAATACAAAAAATAAACCACATGTCTTTAGTATCAATTCAAGAAAGAACAATGCACCAACTATATAACAAAGGAATTGAAAATATGCAATCTTCTATTGCGTACCTCATCACACTGCATGGCTGTTGTTAGCCTATGAGCTATGAAGATGGAAGTCCGATTGAGGAGATAACGAAGGATAATAAGAAGATGAAGAGGAAACAATGGAGTGCTTAGAGAAGAAAAAGAAGAACGTTTGAACTGTGTTAGGCCTAGCCTGAACATTGCTGGAAGCTGTAGAGGGAAACGCATGAAGGTCTCGATGAATCCGAGAAATGGTGATTGAAAGAAAAAAGTTCAAATAATGTAGTTAGTGATAGCAACCACAGAAGAAAAAGGGGTATATATATATATATATATTTTTTTTTTCTTTTTTTTTGCTTTTGAAAATTATAAATGCATAATAATTTTAAATGGGTATTTATTTCACGTTAAACAAAACAAATTAATAACAACAACAAAAATAACATCAAGCCTTTATCCCACTACGTGGGATTGACTACATGAATCTTTTTTCTCCATTGTGTCATGTTAAGAATCAATTTCTAATTTAAATCTAATACAGAAATGTCATTTCTAATATTTTCTAACCGAGTCTTTTTAGGTTGAGCTCTACCTTTCTTAACATAAGCCAAATCTAATACATCTACTCTCCTAACCGGGGCATCGGAAGGCCGCTGTTTAATGTGAACATACCATCTTAGTCAACTCTCTCTAATCTTATCTTCCACTTGAGCTACAACCTTTTCACGTATCATGTCTTTAAGAGTAAAGCCACTCATCCACTAGAGCATCCTCATCTCTACAACAATTAACTTAATGTTATGCTTCTCTTTAATGGCAAACATTCTGCACACCACCATCCTATAGAATCTTCCCTTAAGTTTGAGGGGGACTTTTCTATCACACAACAAGCCCGATGCATTCCTCCACATCAACCATCCAACTTGAATTCTACTAATAATATTCCCATCCATTTCACCATTACTATGAACAAAAGACCCAAGATATCTCAAACGTCTACTCTTATTAATAACTTGATCGCTCAAAGTCATAATCTCTCCACTAGATTTATTAATAACAAAATACAAAAATAAACCACATGTCTTTAGTATCAATTCAAGAAAGAACAATGCACCAACTATATAACAAAGGAATTGAAAATATGCAATCTTCTATTGCGTACCTCATCACACTGCATGGCTGTTGTTAGCCTATGAGCTATGAAGATGGAAGTCCGATTTGTTGACAATGGTTTCAATGCATTCAAAATTTCAGCTTCGGTTGTACTATCCAGTGCACTCGTAGCTTCATCACACAATCTAGAACCAGAAAAAAAAAAAATTCGATATAAGAATCAACAAAATCAGAGCTTCACAATCTGAAATACGAAGAAATTAAGGTGATATTATGTCCTTGCTATATAACAATTTACATCTCGCAGCACGCTCCAGTTTTGAATTAAATTCTGATTAATGTAACATTTCTTAACATAGACTGTCACATAGCTACCGAAATAGCAGCTGATGTGTTATTATACTTTTGTTAAGTTATATATTACATGAATATCTTACTTCTCATGTAAATATTATATTTTTAAATAAAAAATATATTTTAGTGATATATAAGAAGATGCACTTGAAAATGATAATAACTAATAGCACAGAATTAGATGAATTAAATTGATAAGCAAAATAAGATAATTTCAAAGAAAAAACTACTAAATATAACATCAAAAAGTTATTTCAAACTGAAAGATGTTATAATTGGAATATAAATAAAGTATTTTGTTAGGAAGTACTTGAAAATTTCAAGTAAATCCTAACAATAAAAATAAAAACAGCGAGAAAACTCAACCAATTCAATGGAAAACCAAAGAAAAACAGGAATTTTATTGAGACAATCATACTAACGGAAGAAAAATAATAAGGTACAATTGATCCTCTATTCGAGAGGAGGATCTATCTCCCAATCTCTAGAGGCCGCTAGAGCCCAAAAACCTAAAGCTAAGAGATCTCAAATTTCAGTCAAATTCAAGATGCCCTAATCCTAGGAAAACAAACTATTTAATGCATACAATTCAAAAGGAAATCTCTAAACAGTCCCTACATTCAAATTTTCCTCCCAACTCCCTAAAAAATCCTTCCTAAACAACTCCCTTGGACCCGAGCGTGTGTTTGGCGTGCAGAGGAGAGGTGGAACTTCCACCTTTGTTCAGCCTGGGCCGGTCCCATGTAGACTGGCTGGACTGGTTTAACATATTTCCAAAGGTATATAAATTGGATTGTATATAAAAAAGAAAATTTTGTATAAATATACCACACAACATAATAATCAGGAGGCATAAATTTAAGTTTGAATTTATTTAAGATTAAAGTTTTATTCTTGAAGTATGGCATAAAATATAGCAAAAATAATGCTTACAGAAAGAATCATAAAGGCAAATGAATGTTATTCTCTAACGCGTCAGGTTTACCATGAGAAAAATGTGGTATTTAAAATGATGATTCAACTCATGTTGCATTAAGTTCAAAGTTAGAGTCCTATGAACTAAATTTCTATATATATCAGCTTTACACTTCTACGAGAATATTGCCTAAAAAATTAAAATAAAAATGAACCAATATATATAAGAGAAAGGTCTAGAAATTAAAATAACCACACGAAGATTTTTTTACTAAAGCACAAAAGGGTATAATCAACATTAAAAACTTATAGATAACAGAGTGTGGTAAATTAAGTTGTATTTGAATGTATTCTTATAAAAGCTTCATGGATTAATTTTACCAATTCCTTCCTAATAAAATAATATAGAGGTAGACTTTACTTTACCTAGGGAGAGAATTGTCTGTACCTCCACCGTTTGTTTTTCAATAAATGTTCTAACTTCCACCTTTTTGGACTAACTAGCTTCCACAAAAGTGCAAACAAACAATTAAAGCCAATCACTTTCAATTACAAAATCAAGTGGATAAAAAAGATGATCGCTTATTCCTAGATCCGGAATGATAAACACGGAGAGCAATTAGGAGATGGTATCTTTGATAGTATGGAGTTAAAGTTAGACCGGAAAAGCACAGAATCATTAGGAGATGGTAATTCTGCCAGTATGATTTTATGCAGCTTCTACTAAAATGGGTAATAAGGACTACGTGTATAATAATAAGAGATATGAAAGCAAGAAAAAAATACAAGTTTGATTCTAAGGCTTCATTTGGGACGGCTTTCTTACTACTTTTTAAAGCCGCTTTTTAGTACAACATTTTTAATTTTTGTACTAAAAAGTTGCTTTAAGAAGCAATAAGAAAGCCTATAAGACAAGTATATTTAGATACTTCCAAAAGTATTTTTAGATACTTCCAAAACAATTGTTCAACATTCAAAGAAGTGTTCTCTATGAGTGAACTTGGAGTGCAGCCTCGTCATTACGCATTATGTGAAACAGGAAGGAAAGAAAGTTTTAGTTAAAAAACTTATATGTGCCACTACCACCCGACTGGAAAATTTAATCACACAATCAAACAAATTACTATAAATAAGAGAATAAGAGTAAGAAAAATAAGAGATCACAAAAGAACTAGATTTCACACTAGTATAAGAAAATAACTTCTCTTAAAATGTTAGAATGTTAGATGGAACCAAACCAACAAGAGATTTATTGCATCAAAAAAGAAATTAAAGTATAATTTTTCTTTTGCATGACTTAGAATCCTATTAATACTTAGAAAACAGCAGGTTCATTCTAAAAAATAAGTTGTAAATTTAGTAAGAGGAAACCTCAACCAACCAAAAAATCCCATAAAAGCAAAGCTACAAGCTACGATAGGCAGCTATAGTACCGGAATTACAAGTAACAAATGGAGGAATTCCACAAGTCACATAAGCATAGTTAGGGAAGAGAGCTGCAAATCATGCAAGGGTCACCGATCTATGTTGGGAATAGAACAGCAAGTCCACGTGTAATTGAAGATTAAAATTCTGGTCGAGGAATGAAGAGTAACAAAGTCTTCAAGAAAAAAACTTAGGGCCTGCTTGGTTGGATGTAAAATAAATGTAAAGTATTTCAAATGCAGGGGTATAGCGTTTATAAGAGACACCAGAGTTTTTACGTGGAAACTCCTAAAAAGGAAAAAAATCCCAAGACTTGGCCCAGTTTAAATGAATCCACAAGTGTTTGCAATCGATTACAAATGGGGCCAATCCTTAGGGGAAGACCTTGGCTTGATGTAGTGAATATACATTATATAGATTACATTACATCGTGGGAATTGGAAGAATCAGCATTGACATGTTTGTTTGGTCGGCATGACCATAGTCGGTGGGTGGTGAAGGTCAGAAAGATCGTAGTCGGATGAGAGTAGTCTGAAGGATCGTAGTTCGCGGGCGACGGGGGTCAGAAAGACCATAATCGGGTAACGGTGGTAGGAACACCATAGTCGGCAGGCAACGGATGTCGAAAAGATCGTAGTTAGTGATGGTGGTCAGAAGAATCATAGTCAGTGGATGACATAGGTTGGAAAGATCGTTGTTCGGCCACAAAGTTTGGAAGGACCGTAGTCGTCAGGCGACGGAGGTTGGAAGAACCATAATTGACATGAGACAGAGGTCGGAAAAACCGTAGTCTAGTGACAAAGGTTGGAAGGACCGTTGTTGGCTAGCAATGGTGGTCAAAAAGACTGTAATCTGGCGACGGAGGTCGAAAGGGTCGTAGTCGGCAGGTAACGAAAGTCTGAAGGACCGTTATCTGGCGACGGAGGTCCAAAAGGACCATAGTCAGCGATGTTGGTAGGAGAGGCCATCGTTGGCGACGAGGTCAGGTAAGAGTCTGAAAAAGTTCGGTGATAGTTGTTGGTCAGGCGGAAGTCCGGCGAAGGTCGATGGCTGATTATAAGTCCAACGATAGTTGTTGGCCGAGCAGAAGTCCGGTGACACTCGGTGGTTGGGAGGAAGTCCAGCGAAAGTCCAATGACAGTCGGTGGTCGGGAGTAAGTCCGGTGACAGTTGGTGTCAAGATGAAAGTCCAGAGACAGTCGGTGGTTGAGAGGAAGTCCGACAACTATGAGTGGTCGGGCAATGGTCGTGGAGGAGCTTGGTGGTGAGAGAGATATCAGATTTCTCTTTCTCTCCTCACTTCTTTGCTTCCTCCCTCTTTGCTTCCTCCTCTCCCTTCTCTTCCCTGCTTGGGGTCCCCCTCAATGAAGAATGAGAGGTCTCTTTATAATTTTTTGGAAGTGGCATGACCAGTAAATAGGAGGGAGATCAAGGATATGTTGGGAGTGGTTTGAATGGACGATTGATATTGATCCCCTTGATCGTGGAACGTTTACTGGGCATTTGAATGTCTTAATAATATCAAAATTAGGTGATCTTGGGCTTGTTGGATTCGTCTCGTCGAGCCAC